GGTGTGTCTGGGGGGGGGGGGATTCTGGGAAGTGTCCCTCCCCCACCTAGACCCCCCCCCCAGCCAAAACTCTTCCCAACTCCACTTATTTTCCTTAAGACTGGATTCGAAGCCTAACACGCTTTGAGGAGTAGGGGCAAGGGAACAGCAACGGGAAGGAAGAATATTGTTTGGACTACAATGTCCATCATCCCCAGCCAGCACACGGCCATGGGGATGCTGGAGGATGTAGTCCGACAGACCTAAAGGGCATCAGCCTCCTGGGCTGAACGCCACACATGGGTGCTGCCCTGCAAATGCCAGAACCAACTCCCGTGGGGTTCTGTCTGCTGGACCCGATATGGACCTGGCAGTAAAGGGGGGGGATTCCCAGCACCCCCAAAGCAGCTTTGAGGGCAGCTTGCAAATCTTGAGGGTTAAACCCACTGGGTTGTTTTTTGTTAAGAACGGCACCCTGCTGGTTCGCTCTGGCCACCTTTTGTCTTATAAAATCCAAGCTGACCCTCAAAAGTGAATCCCAACCAACAAGCCCACCACGCACACACGCACCCCCCTCTCCCGGGCATGTTGTCCCGCCACACCGTGCCCCGGCTCACCTCGGCTGCGTCAAGGATCCCTGGAGCACCAGAGCCGCATGGGAAATGCACTGGGACCGGATGTTGCTCAGCAGCTGGGTCACCACCGGCTGGCTGCACATCTGTGAGAAGGACCAAAACCCAAAGATTATGTGCCTTGGCTCCCTCGCCTGGGACCGCGCACAGTTTTGAGCATCCTCTTTTGCTTGATTAAAAAATGGGATTGGGTTGTTATGAGGAGTGGGGAGGGGGCAACACGAGCAGGGAAGGGGGGGAAAGTCTGTTAGGCTTTCCCCCTGCGATGGAAGGAAAATATTCCCAGCATCTCCTTGCTAGATATTAGTGACGTATCGTGTACAAAAAATGTATTATTCCAGGGAAAACTGTTTGCAAAAGGGTGCCTATATATAATGCTAGGAAAGGCAGAAGGCAGCAGGAAAAGAGGACCACCTAGATACAAGATGGGCTAACCCCCTAAAGGAAGCCACAAGCTTGAGTTTACAAAAAAACTCAGCAGGGCTGTTGAATTGGGGACATTTTGGAGGTCGCTCGTTCCGAGGGTCGACTTGACGGCACATCACAACAATAAATTCTGCAACGTTGCACATGAAGCCATTTAAGTGGAGAAAAGCACACACACACACAAAGTGGGCTGATTTTCTCTCTTTTCGGACCAACCTTTGGCGCCTTCCTCTCCTCGAAATCTTTACCGTGCCCAGGAAAAAATGAACTTAAGATTCAAGACCAACCTTTGGCGCCTTCCTCTCCTCGATCCCCACCCGGTCGAAGCACTCAATGAGGTAGTTCAGCATCTCCGTCTCCTTGCACGTCTCGATGGTGAAATGGTCGCCGCACAAGTCAGAAACGCTGGCCCCTCCGGAACCTCCACCGCTTTGGAAACAAAAAGGGGATTTTTTTTAAAAAAAAGAAAAACGTATCCTACACACACGTAAGGCAAGGTCACAGGTCTCTTCATGAGCCCTCTGGAGGCATTCCACTCCCCTGTGGAACATCTCATAGAATAGAGCTGATCCTTGTGGATGTTTACATACATAGCCATGATCTTGAAGACGTTTACATACGCTATTCCCCTACTCCATCAGCAGTACTATTACGTGGTACTTTGACATCCCACTCCCCCCCCCAATACATTCCAAGAGCATACATGGTTCTTCTCTCTCCCAGTTTCTTGGCACAACCTGCGTGGGTAGGTTAGGCTGAGAAAGTAACTAGGCCAAGGCTACCCAGGGAGTTCTGTGGCACAGCGGAGGCCTGAACCTGGGCTTTCCCAAGCCCCAATCTTTCTAAGGGCCTGTCCAGGCGGTGAAACCATATAAAGTAGAAACACAATTGGTTAAGGTCTTTTTCCGCCCGTACCAAACAGTGCTACCAGCGAACGATCTATCATAACTATATGCCCCTGTGGACAGGCTGTGAACTCTATACCCTGGCTCTTTGCTTAACTCCTCTAAAGACAGTGTGTTAGTTGGAAGAGTTGCAAAAACGACACAGATCACACTTCAAACACAAGGGATAATTCATGTATTCCTTACCATCATTATTATTATCAATTTTTTTTTAGCAAATCATAGTTTGTTGCATTGAGCAGACAAACTGGAATGCAAGCGAGCACACACTGTGTATTCCCGCGTGGTGCCCATGCATGTGTGAGCCTAGGACATGGATTCTAGGCTCTAGGTGAACCGAGCACCCAAGAACAGAGGTTCTACAAGCTGATCCTGCACCAATGACCGATTTAAAACCCAGGCGAAGTTGCCATCTGAGTGAGCCGGGCGCCCCCAGCAAGCTGGCTGATGCAGACCTTTCATGACCCACGAAAGAACGTGGCCTCAACATGAGCCGAAGGGCTTCCAGAGAAGCCAGTTTCAAGAGCAAGAGATCCTGGATTCGTAAGGCATGACCCACTGCCTTCCGTTCAACCCGCAGGGCCAGCAAGCAAGCCTCACTATCCGCAAGGGCAAGAAACACACGCCACCGTTGTGCGTATAAAAGCTGCACTCTTTGGAGTGAGTCTTCACGCACCAACTGCCACACCTACCACCCCCCTTCCCATCTCCAAAGGGCAAATGAGCCTCTATCACCTGCTTTACAATTAAGAAGGTGGATCCCTTGTTAAGCTTCTTGGCTTTTAAAAGAGCTGTTTAAAATCCAGGCAAAGTGACCCTCTGAGTTCCCAGGGCGTACCCTCTGAAGATACAGGACAAGATTCTGTCTTAATGCTTTTATGGTGGAGCTCAGTTTCCTCGTCTGAACTGCTGGCTTTTATTGTAATGACACCTTTAACATGTCCATCATGTTTTTCCAGGGATTTGCCGTCAGCCTCTTTAGGTTCCCTAACAGAAGGTTTAAAAATAAAATCTAACTAAAGGCGGGAACAGTTGACCAGCATTGATGTGTAATAACAGGACAGATCTGCAGACCTCTATCATCCTCATCTGCATCTCTGAAGACAACGGCGCTTCTTTCGCAGCCACGGTGGCTGGGGGATTTTGGTGGCTGTAGTCCAAAAAAAGAAATTCTCTCCCCCCCCAGCTCTGTTTGCCAACATAAAGCCTCCTGAGCAAAGCCAGGTATTGTGGATCAGGGTGGGGGAAGTTCTGGTCCTCCAAATGGCTTCGGGCTTCCATCTTCCAGAAACCCAAGACAGATACAGTGGACCCTCGACTTACAGACGGCTCGACTTAGAGACTTTTCAAGTTACAGCATTTAGACGGCCAGAGGCTCCCCAGTAGACTGTTCTAAGAGTGAGGGCTTCATCTCTACAAGGTATACTGAAAACAACTGGTGATATACCGTATTTTTCGCACCATAAGACGCACTTTTTTCCCACAAAACAGGGGGGTGGAAAGTCTGTGCGTCTTATGGAGCGAAGAAAACAGATTATATTTTCCTGTTTTCTTCTCCTAAAAAATTGGTGCGTCTTATGGAAAGGTGTGTCTTATGGAGCGAGAAATACGGGTATATATTTATTTGAAGCAGCAGCCACTGTTCCAATACGGATTGATTCCGCAAGTAGAGGGTCCACTGTACGGGCAACAGGAAAGGATGATTCGAGCAGCATTTCACTATTTAGATCAGTGGTTCTTAACCTTGGGTTACTCAGGTGTTTTTGAACTGCAACTCCCAAAAACCCCAGCCAGCACAACTGGTGGTGAAGGCTTCTGGGAGTTGCAGTCCAAAAACACCTGGGTAACCCAAGGTTAAGAACCACAGATTTAGATGGCCAGAGGCTCCCCAGTAGACTGTTCTAAGAGTGAGGGTTTCACCTCTACAAGGTATACTAAAAACAACTGGTGATATATATATTTATTTGAAGCACTATTCTAGTAGTTTCCCAACCTTGAGCCCGCAGGTGTTCCTGGACTGCAACTCCCAGAATCCTTCACCACTTACAGTGCTGGCCAGGACTTCTGGAAGCTGTCATACAAGAATATCTGGGGACCCAAGATTGGGAATCCTTGTGCCACTGCAATCAACTTCTTCACCCACTTTTAAGGGAACCTCGGAGAGCTATTCTGCCAGGTTCCAAAGCACAGGAAGGAAGAAAACAAGATTAATTGTCAAGATTTTCGACACACAAAACTGTTTTGAGAAAAATGTTAGGAGGGCCGTGGAATTAGACGCAGCAGATTTTGGCTGGGGCACAAGGCAAACAGGAGTTAGTTGCTGTTGTTTTTAAGGAGCCAAGTTCAAAGCAAAACCACACACACTTTCTGAAATACCTGGACCCAAACTGGACACAAGAAAAATCATCGTCCTCATCCTCATTGCCTTCATCAGAACTGTCCCCAGACACATCAGAAACAGCCAGGAGGAGAGAGAAAGGGTTCTCGTATGTACTATCGTAACAAAAGCAAAGATGGACCCATGAATATGAGAGAGGGAAAGAACAGCAGAAAAGCCAAAGCGTGGGAGTGAGGGATCTTCTTTAAAAAAACAAACATATATATATTTGCTAATATGATTTTTCACAGCAAGCATGCAGAAAACTGGGTCTGGAAGTCAGCAACACTCATTAAAACCACAAAATCGTTCAGGTGCCTTATTGTAAGATAAAGGCCTGCAAACACTCCAATTGAGAAAGGGTTTACAATTCAGATCAAAAGAGAGGCAAAGCCAACAAACTCTCCTTCTGCTTGGATCCGAACAGGAATCCTTGGAGATAAATCAGGTACAAATGAACTGCATGCCGGGGGGGGGGGGACACGTATGGGGTAAGGTGAGAAGAGCCGATTAGGTCAGTTAGCTCAGTGCTGGCTGCTCCAAATGGGGAGCAATTCTCCCAGTCTAAAACAAAGAGGGGGGGCAGGCTGTGACAAGCTCCCTGGTCCTTTCATCTGGACTCATTAGGGAACAAACTTTCACACCTGCAATGGAGTGGAAGCATTAAGGGCTACCTCTGCTAAACAGATGAGTCATCATGGGACCACACCACCCACGGGTCAGAAAATTGGCCTCCATCCATCTTGCATCAACTTCCAGAAATGGAGGAGGGGGGCGAGTAAACCGTAGGTAAGACACCTCTCTCAACCTTCTGCCGGTAAAGCAAGACCTCTACGCGCCTCCCTTCTGCTGGCCTGTAAAAGGCTGAGCGTTTCTGACATCTCTGGCGCCTACAGCACGACCACGCAACAGGGCCTGGCTTGCAAGGCAGTGGGTGTTAGTGAGACATCTAGTCAATGCAACCCAAAAAGGAAAGCTTATCTTTAAAAAGAAGGAGTTAGTGAGCGGCCAGGTCACGTTCTCCCAAAGCACGCCAAGCCACCACCACACTCCACAGCAGGCACAAAACGGCAATCATGAAAAATACCTCGATGGCGGAGTCCTACTCAGGAGGGAGGGGCGCTGGCCGAGAACAGTCAGCAATGGCAGGGCCATAGTGACCGGTCTAATCCTGGCCGAAGGGGCCCGCAAACCTGGAGGACTGGTGCTGATGACTGGAGGCGCCGGGCAGCGAGAGAGAAGGGAGGAGATCGAGGAGGGAAGGAGAGGCGAAGGGGCCGGGAAGGTCCAGGGGTGGGCCACCGTGTACGGGCGGTATCTTGGGGACGAGGGCTGGGCGCTCAGTGGCCCAGCCGGCACCCCGTGAGGGCTAGTGGAAAGAGCGGAGGTCGAAGCCGGGCCAACGGGGCCCGGGGAAGAAGAGGCAAGAAAAGAACCCACCAAAGACGGGGGGTTTGCAAAGCCGAAACTCGGAGCTGGGCTAGTTCCGTACAGACTGCGGTCGGAGAGAGAGACAGGCAGGGACGGAGACACAGAGAGAAACGGAGAGAGAAATCGGCAGTTTAGATGACAGCAAAACGAAAGGCAAAGAGGAACAACGATAAGGCAAGGAAACGCCACCCTGCTCTCCACTGGGTTTTGTCCTTGGCTCCAAAAAAAAGAAGGATCCTCTCCATATTTATGCTCTCATTGGAAAACTAAGCCATGCCTGACTGAGAAGGAAGATTTGCTCACACAGCTTCCGGCAACGTGCAAAAGGGCTTCTCGTTACTCGTGGAACTAGGTGGAGGCTAAGGAGAGATCCTGGTTGGGGGTAAGACACCCCCACACTGCCCAGTGCGGCCAGCTGGCCAGCGGGCTTGCAACAGCTACCCTTCAAAGAGATGGGAGACATCCCCCCAGACAACGCCTCGGCCTGGTTTCAGACTTCGGGAAGCCTTATTTGGGCGTCCCAACAGGTGAGCCTCCTCTCCGGGCAAGGAAGGGAGCCCTCTCCAGTCTCCCTTGAGAATTGCTACCCCATGGGAAGAGGGGAAGGCACCTCTGTCCACTGGGGGGTTCTGTGATCCAGCCTGCAGGCCAGAGGCAGCATTCCCATTCAAACAGACACACCTTTCAAAGGCTTCCCACAGGACGAGCTTTCAGAGCCTAGACAGTCTTTCTTCCTGCTCTTCCCCCCCCCCCGGCCAGGGCAGTACGTAACGCATCCATTCCCACGTCTGCCCTTACCTTGACAACGAGCTGGACCCAAACGACCCCACGTTGCAGAAGATGGGGCTCGTCCCCGAGTTGGAGCCCGTGTTAAGGAACAGGCTTCGGTCGGGAGACCGGGCGGCGGCGGCGATGGGCTGAGAGGTGGCCGTCAAGCTGGCGAAAGGGTTTTCTTCCCTCGACTGGGTCGACATCATCAAGACCTCCATCAGGATTTGCCCGATCAAGTCCTTGAAGTCCGAGAACACTTGGGAAGGAAAAGAGAAAAGCACACGGGTTTCCGCGGCCGGACTTTCACGGTGAAATATCCAAGCTTTCCGGTAGACAGGCCAGCCCCATGTGGGCTGGAGGATTCTGGGAGTTGTAGTTCCCCCCCCCCAAAAAAAAACAGCTTGGCCCCATAGGTACTCAAGTCAACTCCAGAGATGATCCTTAAGATCGGCTTTATTGGTAGTCATTCAGATATAATAAGGTGGCACTACACATTGCCCTGAAATCAGATCTCTCTATATTCCCCTGTGTTGCCTGAAAAATGTAGAACACACAACAGGAACCTCCTCCCCATCCACGGGATCAGTATCCACAGTTTCACTTATCCACTGCCTGAAAATATGAAATAACCCCCCCCCCATTACAGTATGTTTCCCAGATCTATCACCAGAACTAACCACTAGAGGGAACCAGAGAACACACATTACACTGTTAGAGGGTTTGGTCTTATCAGTGGTTTCCAACAGCTGCCATAAGGCCTAGGGGGCCCATCATCTGCGGATCCTCTGGTCCTACTGTATGTATGACAAAATATAACTGGTTCTCACACAACACCTCAGCGAATGGCTATTCTCACACTGCTCTTCCAAAACTGTTTCGTTTTGTTTTAGAGAGACACCTTTTAATGGAAACCGTTTAAGATTTTGTACTAAGCGGTGTACAAGTGCTATATTGAGTGGGGGTATAAGTACCACACTTCATGCAAAATGCTTGGTGAGTTTATTATATCAAGTAAAAGACTGGCCTACAGATACAGTAGAGAAAGAAACAGGTAAAGAGAGGCTAAGGGTGGCTTAGCAATCAGTAGATCTGTCTGATAAGATTATAGGGATTGTCACCCAATGGATCACGCACCTTTCCAAGCACAAAGAGGAAAATACTCGCGTTCCTTACCTTCTTTTGGGTTCTGGCTGAACTGCTCGGAAAGGGAAGTGAGGAAGATGACGTCTCTGTCCCGGTCTTTCCAGGAGACCCGGAAGATCTTACAGACTAGCTGTACGGCCTGCTCTTCTGATATTTCTGATCCTGACAGAGGCTCCTTCCCCACGAGGAAAAACAAGAGGAAAAAGAGCAGAGGTTCATCTCGGTCATGCCACAAAAAGAGCACTCAAGCTTATGTACACCTTCATCCCCCAAGCTGGTGTCCTCAAGATGTCCTGGACTACACCTCCTATCGTCCCTGTGCAAAGGAGGGCTGGAGAACATAGCCAATTGTAGACCAATGCACTTGAATTTTTCCAAGTCGATGCAATGAGGGGCAATGAGGTATCCGTTAGGGTTTGTGCAACAGCACAAAGGTTGTCCTTGCAAATCCAAGGACAGAGAGTGCTAAAAAACAGCCTGAGTCCTCTCGAAGGTGGAAAATTTTGGTTTCCCATTCTCACACACCACAGCGACATGAGCCCAAGATTCAGCTCCTTAGCATCTGATGAGGCCACACATCTGTAGATGGGCAGGTCAGATGCTGGATAGTCCGGAGAGCACGTTTTGAAATGATATGACCTCGGCCATGAGCTCGCCAAGGGATATCTAAGCTGGTGAAAACCAACTTTTGTTTTCAAATAAGAGGCATCTTCGACCAAGGAGCACCGTGAAGCGTCCTCCCAGCGCACGGGATGAGGGCTCACCCACCTTGTCAGTAAGGCTCCTTTTCTCTCTCCGGTCGTTCTCGTCCACCTCCATGTTCTCGATTCCTGAATCGACGTCCACCTGGGACATGCTGCACACAGAAGAGAGAGCCCGTTAATAGGTGGGCAAGAGGCTGGAGAAGCAGAACCAAGAAGATGCAGGAGGATGTTGTCAGCAGCCGGCCCCTGACCGTAGATGGCCCGTTCCTGTCCGCCTTGAAGCAGGGCTCCCCGATCTGAGATCACCAGACAACCCTGGACTACAGCTACCAGGAGCCTTCACTCGTGAGTGGTGGGCTGACTAGGATTTCTGGGGAGCTGGCAGACCAAAAACAGGTGGGGAGACAAAAGACCAGGGACCTTGGGGAATGACTTGGCCTTTCACCGCTTTCTGGAATGCAAGCCAGGGACAGGGACCCCAGGAGATGGTCATTCCACCAAGGGGCGAGGAATTGGGAGTTTTTCCTAGTAAAAAGATACTCCAGCCGGGCACGAGGTCCGGGGGCCCCCATCGAATCCCCCAGCTCCTTCAAGTACCTGCAACCGAAGGAGTTCCCAACTGGGGCTTTAAGAAAACCTTCTGGCCACAAAGCACCTGTGGGTGAGCGGAGGGTCGGAAGGGCGAGCGGAGGGACTTCCGAAGGTCCTGGTGCCCACTCGGCTTTAAAATGCACTAGACCAGGGGTTCCCCAGCTGTTCTTGGACTACAACCCCCATAAGCCTTTTCCACCCACTGCACGGCCCAGGATTTCTGGGAGTTGCAGTCCACCTGGGGACCCAAAGGTGGGGGGGAACCCCAGGCTCTCCCCATTCTCACTCTCAGAGGGCATGCCCGGCGTCAAGAGCCCCCGGCTCACCTTTTCTCGCAGGAGACGCTGTCGATGTCCATGCTCTGGGACCGGGAGAGGGACTGAGAATGGGTTTCAAGGCTATTGGAGGGAGAGCTGCTGAGCGAACTCACTCCTTCGCTGCTCTGACTCCGGTGGGCGACCCCTGCGGAAGAGAGCAACAACACCAGGCCACGTTTGTTTTGTTCGCCGCCCCCTGTTAGGTTCTGACAGAATCACAGAAGGCCTCCAGAAACCCAAATCAAAACAGATCTATCAGATGCCGTTCCAATGTTCTCTCGAAGGCCTCCAGAGAGGGAGAGAGAGAGACTGGAATCTGCAACAAAATGTTGCTGCATACTTTCGCCCTCTAACAGGAGTGATTCGGTCCACTCAAAAACCAGCTGAGGATGCTCGTCTGGCATCCCACGTTTCCTCCAAGAAGCTCAGCCCCGGTTCCAGACCTATCACCCACCCTTTATTAGCAACTGGGCTAATTGTGGAAGCTGCTACCTACCTGATGCGCCGATGGGAGAGGTAGCAGGGGTCATGGGGTGAACGTTTAGCCCGAGGTTATGGGGTGCCGTGGGGGACGGTGCGGCGACAGGCAGCCCAGGTGGGGTCTCCCTCTGCGGAGACGTCAGTGGGGTAGAGGGTTGGGAAGACGGCCCGCCAGCGAGCCGGGCGAGGCGCCGTCGACGAATCTGGAAAGAAACCGAGAGAAGATTCCCCCACGTGTCTTGGGTTTTAATCCTCCAGGATCTTCGGAAGAAGATGGAAAAAGAGCCCGGAATAAACAATACCATGTGCAGAAAAAAGTCCCCAACCCCCTGAGACACGGATGCCCTTGTGCTGCCAACACTGAGAGCTGATAGACAGAAGCAATGAAAAACAGGCAGGAACCGAGGGCATCTACCTTGAGCCTTTTCTAGCCCTGTGTTCTGAACTCGCAACAGGACCACACAAGAGTCGTTCCCACCTCGACCTGAAATTCCCCAATATTATCAGGCAGCTTCTCATCCAAGGGCCAGCCAGGACTGACCCTGCTCTGGTTCCAAACTCAGGTTAGACTCTGGGTACCCAGAGTCGCACCACGAGAGCCAGGGTGGGTCTCCCCTGCCTTGCTCACGCGACACGAAGCAGCTTTTCACTGCGACAGGGCGCATGTGGCCTTTGGTGGCCGAGAGTTCCAGAGCCCGGAGGGGGGTGCCTACGAGAAGATCACCCCCACTTTTTTACATGCACACACCCCAAAATGCATCTCTCTAAGGGTAGCAAAACTGAGCAGAGGGACGCACTGCAAAAAAGGTCTTCGATGAAGACGGATTTATTCTGGAGAACGCAGTCTTTCAAAGAGTGCAGTCCTTATTGCAACCCTTCATAGATACTCGATAGCTCAGGGATTGAGGTCTCTGGCTGCGGAGCCAGGGGTGAAGAGTTCAAATTCCCCACTGGGCCTCCTTGACAGAAGCTGGACTCCACAATTCATGGGGTCCCTTCCAGCTCTGCCGTTCTAAGGTTCTTTAGTTATTATTTTTTAACTCAATCAAGGTGCCCTTGCACCTTGAGCGCCTCAACCTTATCTATTATCTTAGAGGTAGATTAACATCCACACTGAGTTCAGCACCCCCATATAGGACCAGACAACATCCTATCATCCCTCATCACCACAAGTGCTTGCTAGGAATATTGGGAGATATAGTCCAAGAATATCGGGAGCGCTACAGGGCCCCCCCTTCGCACCATCTGAAGCACTACATATCTCTCTCTTTCCCCCTCCATTGACCCTCCATTGCAACATCTGGAGCACTACATCTTTTCCTGGTGCAACATCTGGAGTGCTGCACCTCCCCATTGCAACATCTGGAGCGCTACATCTGCAACATCTGGAGAACTACATCTTTTCCGGGTGCAACATCTGGAGCGCTGCACCTCCCCCATTGCAACATCTGGAGCGCTACATCTCCCCCCCTCGCTGGGTCATACAAACTCCGATGTGGATGTGTGTCTATTTCCCCCCACACACTAGAATTCCTGTGGAGGAAAGCAGGAATCCGATACTCGTTTCCTTCAAGGGTAACTTTCCAAGCAACTTTCAGCAGACAGAGCGATTTACCACCTGGACAGGCTTCCGTTCCACAAGATTTCGTAACATTTTCTTCCCAGAAACCCTTACGGAACATGCAGGAAAACTCTGATGCGGTGTTTACCTCCATCTGCTCAGATGGAACACTATAATTAGAAATGGATCAGGGTTCTCCCCATGGCCTTAAGCAATGAGGTCAGTACCGTCCTCTCCTCTCGGGAGCATTTAAATATCCTTTTTCCTGGAAAGCCATTCTCCCTCTTTATTGGAGGCAGGGGTGAGCAGCCGGGAGAAGTGTATTGCCACCTCTTTATGCTTAGAAAGGATTCCCCTTAGGCCAACCTCCCATTAGAGCTCAAAACCAAATAAATTAATTTTTGAAAGGCGTTCAGCCTAAAGGGGTTTCGGTTTACCAGTCCAAAAAGTGTCAAAACCAAGTTGAGAAACAATAAATAAAGCAGAGTGTGAGATGCAGAGCAAATATCTGAACTGTTAAAGAGCTCAATGCTATAGACATCTAGCCATGGGGCGAGAGGCTGGGAGTTCGATTCCTCGCTGGGCATCTTTGATACATGCTGGACTCAGTTCTAAGATGACGACGATAAGTGCAACAAGACAGCCACTGGGCAAAATGCATCCTCATTAGGCACCTAGAGTTGCTTCTAGGATAATGACCGGTTTATGATGTTGAGCCCGCATGATACAAATGTCATGACCTTCGGTTAGCCCTCCGGTGACTAGGTTGGCTTTAAAGCTAATTAAATCATGTGAATTGTCTTGAGAGGGGGGGTCTTATGGTTCCTGAAGGCAGCATTTACAGTAAATATTTAAAATACACAGATCTAAGCCCTCCAGAGTTGTTGCCATATGCGAAGCTCCCGGAAGCTGCCATCAAATGATGACAAAAGCCAAGCCATTAGGAGACCTGTGAATTATTCCAGCCCTTCTAAATGTTGCTGCCTGTTCAGAACTACCTAGCAGGCCTTAAGCTTTTCATTTCACATTTCGGGCAAGCTCTTAACATCTTTTAATTTGCTTCTCTCTCTCTCTTTCTTCCTCTACACCCCCCCCCCGTTGTGGCATTTTCTATCTCCTTCCTCTCTGCTCCCTCGCCGTCCGATTTCTCCTGCTCACAATACAATTTCCACACGCACAGCAGGGTAACGGCCACCACGGCTGTTCCTGCAAGATGCCAGAAGCGTACGCGGGGCTGCGCAAGAGACGAGCAGCAGACGGTGCTGCCCATAGCAACACACGCCGCCTCGTGAAGGCTGCAGATCGTCCAGTGACTCAGTTCAGATGCCGGCCAAGCCGGTCGAATGACTTCACCCACATCTTGGTCCACATCGTACTTTTTTAATCCCATCACATCAATTACATTTATTTCAAGTTCCCTCCTGTCATGACCAAATCATCATTAGCAAATGAGACGGTCTGATACCAAACCCATTCATCTGTCCATCTTGGGCCCATCTGCTCTGACTCGTAAATGCTCTCCACAGGGGCCACCAACCTGGAATGATCCAGATGATCTGAAGTGCATCCCAGCACCGGCCACGCCAGCAGAGGCTGATGGGAGCTGCAATTTAAAACATCTGGCACCAGGTTTGCTACTCCCCCTCTGGAGCCTCCCAGCTAAGTCCTTCTTTCCTTCGTTAAGGGATAGATTTAGCTGGCGACGGCACAGAATTCTAAACAGACAGAGATGTGCAAGTTTTGTATTAGAAATCCCCAGAAATTCCCAGGCAACTGTGGGGAATTTCATCGGGTGTAGTCCAAAAGCACATGTCTACACACCTCTAAATTGGGGACCTTCACACGCGAAGCAGGTGCTGCTCCCTACCACCAAGAAACCACGGGTCTGTTCTTGAGGCTAACACACACCTACATACAAATCCCAGGTATATGAAACCCAAAGTGTTCTCAGAGCCAGCTAAAAGACAAGGACTGCCAAGTTTTCCATCATCTTACTCACAAAAAGGCATCGGGTTTCTACGTCATCGGTAGAGACTGGGTTGCAAGCCTAGGAGTTCCTAGTTCAAGGAATCGTATTTTAATGCTTGCTTCACCGCAGGAAAGAGCCGTTCAGTTTTTGCTAGTCCCATTCATCAAGCAGGGCAGGGCCCATCCAAGCCGGCTGAGACAGAAGGGAAACACAGCAGTCCTTCCTCGGTCCCTATACAGAGGATGACGAGACTGGCCGAGGAATCTTACAAGGCGACTGCTGATGGGACAACAGATTCTGCCACACTTTAACCACCAGATCGAGGGGGGTGAGGGTAGACCGTGCCTGCTTACAGGGATGCTGTACAGCAGAAAGAAACAGAGGAGTCAGAGCACCACCGGTACCACCTCCAGAATCTGCTGCCTAAGACCGTCCGCCCTCTCTCTGCCTCCAGAGGCGGCCAGCTCTGCACCAGAGCGCCCCGAGGCAGCCTGGTCTTCTCACCTTCGCTCCCCTGAAAGGAATGTGAGAGGTGGAAAATACTAAGAGTTGCAAAACACATTTCTTGGTGGGATTTCTATGCGGGAGCTTGATATCCTGCCCCATAGGTATGGGGCCCAGACAAGGACCTACACCAAGGTACACAGCTGCTGCTACTGCACTTTTGAACGCACACACACATACACAAACCCATATGACTTTTCCTGTAGAACTCCTGCAAAGACTAGAAGTGGAGCCATAAATAAACGCACACGAAGCATGAGTATGGATTTTACTTTTGCCCTCCCTTTTTTTTAAATCCACCCACTGGAAGAAGGTTGCACATGAATAGCAGAGGGGAACTACGTTGGTGGGTTGACACGCCTTTCCCTCAGCAAAACAAGGTCCGACGCATGGACTGAATAATCCACTGCCCATTACAATGGCTTTCTCTAATGCAGCATCTGCACCACAGGTATTTGGTGCCTTTTTGGGCTCCTCTCAGTTCCTTTACCTGAAAGCGTGTGATGCAGCAAGCCAATGAGCAAGTCGGTGTGGGCTGCTACCTGGACAAGAAACTGCATGGGACCCCTGTCAGCGCGTGTATTCCAGAGGAGAAAAGTGAGGAATAAAAGAAACTTGCAAATCTAATATTGTCTTTGCCTTCTATACTCTGTTTTTCATCGTCCACTGGCCAACGTACATCTAAGGCACAGATCCGGCAACAGCGTCTCCAGCCCGAAACCTTCTTGTCTAACAGCGCTGAAGCAAGACTTGCTTATCCCAGTTGGGCGGCTAATTTGAAGCCTCATGTCTTGTGCATGGGTGGATTAAAAATCATCCCAGCATGAGTTTAGAAAGCAGAGTGAAGGGTGGCTCAAACCACAGCAAAATAAGCCCGCAAAGTGACAATTTTTTTAACAAAAATGTACTGAGATAAGGGGGGGGGGGAGGAGGAATCTGCTCAAACGTCCAACTAAATCTTTAAAGACCAAGGCCCTTGCCCGGAGACACATCTCTCTCCCTCTGTTTTATTATCTGGTTTGATGACCTGGCATTTTAGGGGCAATCAATTTGCATATACAAAAAACAACAATAACAAAGCAGGGTGGTGCCTTTAAGATCAGAAGCTTAATTTCCATAGGCCTCATGATAATGAACTCCCTCAGATACAGGAAGATAAATTCAGCCACAGGGTTATATATAGTGTCCGGAAAGGGGCCAACTGAGATAGGAGACTGAAGGTGCTAATTGCTGCAGCAATTTATACATTAGCATGATATAACCAAGCCTAACTCAGAAAGGGCAGAGCTAAGAAGCTCTTATTGGCATGCAAATGTACAAGGCACTGGCTTGCTAGTCAAGTTGCAATCAATAAGCCTACTAAACTAAAAGGTTCCCCCCTTCAGCATCATTATAAACCTCTCCCAGTGCCTGATGGGAAATGTAGTCTTATTTCACTGCTCTTTCATGAGCACATATAAGCGCGCTGGTCCTCCTGCTAACATCCCAACATGCATTCCTATTGCAACATCGAGGGGTTGCTACATCATTCCCTTCACCCCACATAACCCCCACCACCTCGCAACGTTCTGGGAAACATTGAGAGACTTTGTATTAAGTATATCAGTTGTTGCAATGCGATCTGCACACACAGCACAAACTCTGAAAGTCATACACACACACACACACAAAGTCATGGAACAGGGATCCTGAAGGCCATCTATCCCTGCCAGCTGCAGAATTCCATGCCTTTCATATGAACAAGAATCACCAGCTGCCCTTCCAAAGTGCTGGCCTACGAGGAATCTAATTACACCACTGAAGTATGTGCTAATTAGCTTGTTTCACACAGGATGATGAACAATGTGCCATCGCCTGGCAATAGAATTGCAGCCTCTGAAACTGAAAAGGGTACCTTACCTAGAGGTATACTGACTGCTCACGCTGTATAATGTGCGTGTCCTGTGCCATCAAATCAGAACCCACTGATAGTGACCCTAATTGGGCTTTCAAGATAAGTGAGATATTTAAAGCGTGTATTCGCGAAGGCTTTCATGGCCAGGATCCAAGGGGTGTTGTGGGTTGAAGAGCTCGAAAATCTCAAAACAACCATTTAAGGGGTGGTTTTACCAGTTCCACTCCCCCAGTGGAGTTTCTATAGCTGAGCAGAGATTCGAACCCTGTTCTCCAGGGTCTTAGTCCATCACTCTGACCCACCACACCATGCTGTGTAGGCCTGTGTCCTCACCAGAGCAGCCTAGGAAAGCCTTTAAGTTATTTTCACCCCAATGGCAGTAGAAGGAACCACAAAATATCTCTTATTTTGGGTGGTTATCATTCCTTCTAATTTTCAGGGTGGGACTCTGGCCCTCGCCTGCGGCTTTTCCCCCTAAACAGGCTTTCCATCGTGTCCGGGAACCAAAGGGGATGAATACGAACCATCACCACTGGTGTGCAGAGAAGGAAGGCCGCATGGAGGCGCACACCTTATAGGGAACCTGGGTTGTTATACAACTATCCTAAAGTGTAAATATACTCCCAGAACGCAACAAATTTTGGCTGTTGCAAGCAACAGAGGCTTTTATACAGAAAATGATCCGTCCAGTCACTTATTTTCGATTGGTTCTAAAAGACCAAGAGGGGAGTAGGAGAAAGATAAGAGAAACCAGGAAACTGTAGTTAAGCAAAACAGAAACACCACCACCTGCCGAGGAGAAATATTTCCTTCTTGTGATAACAAAGGATTCACACTGTTGTCAATGTGAAGTGGGCTATGAATATTGTAACGAACAAAAGAAAAAGAGAGAGATGAAACGTCATTTAAAAAAAATATAAACCAAGCTTCGGCAATGGGCTGGCTTCCAAATGTGTTTAAATACAACCTCCAATTAACAATCATGCTGACTAGGGAGGGTGGATGTTGTAGCTCAATACATGTATCGGCTACCTAGCCGGCAAGGGCCAGGATGAACAACACACAGGATATCCTATTAGTAAGGCAGGAAATAGTCTCAGGAACACCTCAGCACTACAGTATCTAACCTTTCAATCATGACAACAGTAACCACACCAGTATGTGCCACGCTGAGCTTTTTCATGTGCCAAAACCTGTATTCTGAACCTGTGCCCAAAGCCAGTGGCTCCGATCGCCATCTCCTTAGTTCAGCCTCTAAGGAAAGCCCAGGCTATCGAACCTATAAAAGGTGAAACAGGACTGGTGAGACCAGAGTTCAAATCCCCACGCTACCCCTAGATGAACTTGGCCTAGTCACTATTTCGCAATCTTGTTTACATCAGACAGTTGCTATTGAAAATAAAAATAGGCAAGAGGCCTAAGGCCCATCAGCCTGACCTTCCTGGAATAAGAACAAGCCAACACTAATAAACAAAACAAATAAGAATAACATCAATTCTGACTTAGGGTGACCCTTTCTAGGTTGACTATCCCTTCCCCGGGGGGGGGGTGCCCTGGAACTAATGCGTAGCTCGCCCAAGGCCTCACAGGCTGTCTGTACTCATAGGAAGCCAAGTGGGGAACTGAATTCTCAACTTCTGGCTCCGCAGCCAGAGACCTCAACCACTGAGCTATCCCAGCCGGGTAGGAAAGTGACATATGGGGTTTTTATATAAAATCACCATATGTCGCTTTTTTCTCCCAGTAACAGCTTCTACAGGACAGCTCAAAATGTTATGCCAACAAAGACACTGAAAGGGTTGTCATATAAGGCTACGCCAATTTTCTCACACTCAGTAGCACCTTTATCAAAAATATTTCAGAGAGTAAGAATAAGCAATCCAAGACAATGGTTAGTGCTTTAACATCAATGGACGTAACTGGAAAAGTTCCATAAAGTAACGACTTTTGTCTGTTTCAGGCAATCAAACCCATTTTTTAACATAGCCCCCTAACTCGGACAGATCTGACAAGTTTTCGTAGCCGAGGCACACAATCATCTGGAAAAGCAAGGTTTAGGACAAACCTACCCTCTACATCAGTAGTTCCCAACCTTGGGTCACTGAGGTGTTCTTGGACTGCAACTCCCAGAAGCCTTCACCACCAGCTGTGCTGCCAGGGTTTCTGGGAATTGCTGTCCAAGAACACCTGGGCGAACCACGTGTGGGAGCCCCTGTTCTACATGACTGCGGTCTTAAGAAGGTTGAAGGTTGGGCCTAAAAGACAAAGATCTGAAAGATCTATTCCTGTTCCATTTTTTTAAAAAATAGCAAATCAGGCATCTCCAACCTGCAAATATACATATGTATCAGAAACAGCTCTTCTACCCAACCCCCTTCATCAAAACACCACTTTATCTCCCTCCAGGAAAGCTATTTTAGTTCTACAATTTGATACCTGCCCCAGACTCCCTTTTCCCCAACAAGACCCAGACTTACCTCATCAGCGCTCAGCTCCTCCATTGTTTTCCTCTTAATGGTGAAAGGAGGTGGGGAAAGGAGGACTCTGTACTTCCCCCAGAGGGGTGTGCTTGTGGGAGAGAGTCTCCGGGGAAATTCCTGTCCTGCTGACCCTTTCCCTAGGGACGTCTCAAAATTGCATAGTCAGAGGTTAAGAGCAACGCCACAGAGTGCACTTTCCTCTTCAGCACAAACAGTTTTCCTCCTTCTGTTTGGCAAGTCAACTAAAGAGTATCAACAAACAAACACATACATACACACACATACATACACGAACCCTGTCCAACAACCGGACTTCCAGGCCTTTCTGTCTCTTAGTCTTAAAAACCTCTTTTCACAGGCACCTTGAAAAAGACCTTAAGATCCTGGATAGATTTTCCCCCTCCCTCTTTGGAGCAGGCTTGCCCTTTGGGGGGACCCCTCAAGCCTCCTCTAGCTGCCTTCTACAGCTCACAGAGCACTTACCCCCCCCTCTGTCAGTCCTCAAGAGCCCCGCCGGCAGGCTAGCCTCTCTGTGTGCCAGAAACCCTCCCTCCGGCTTGCTCTCTTGTCCTCCCCAAGCCGAACCCTACCAGAGTGGATGCAACGTCCCCTGGCACCCCGCTGGTGAACCTACGGCTCCTTCTCCCTTCCAAAGACACATCCCACACCTGAACAGGGGCACCGTCTCTTCTGAGACCCTCTTGCTGGCTGCCTGTCCCGCACCGTGGCCTGCCTTCTGGACACCCCCACAGAGTCCCATAGAGAGAGAAAGGACCCCTTCAACCCTTCCTCTCGGGGAGGCCCACCTGCCTGAGGGGCTCCTGCAGCTCCACACAGTCCCTGGGGCCAGCTCTCTGGCAGGAAAGCCCTCCCTCTGGCTGGGATAACTTGGGACAGAGAGAGAGAGAGAGAGAGAGGGTCGCCATACCCCCCAAGCGCCCTCAACTGCCTTCGCCCCACAACCAACCACCCACCCCCTAGGATTCTCCAGGTACCTGCCTTGAGCTGCAGAGAGGGAAAGTTGGGGGGAAAGGGGGGAAAAAACCCACAGGCCACCTACCAGCCTCGCACCCCCTCCCTTTCCTCGGCCACCACCTACCTACCTACCTACCCCCGCCCCCTTTTAAGCTGCCCCCCAACTTCGGCGCCCGCCTTCCCCACACACAAGAGATTATTCATCAAAACAAGAAGGCGGCGGCGGCCATCTTGGCGTCGGGTCACGTGACCGGCCCCTCCTCCTCTCCCCCCGGCTGCTGCTGCTGCTGCTACCGCGCCGCTCTTCTGTGCCTCTCCTGGCGTACGGCAAGCCACTGGGCAGAGCGTGAACGCGGACGTCAAGGAAGGGGAGGGAGGCGAGGCCTTAACAGCCACTGGAGGACGGGAAGGCGGGACCAGGCTCCGCACTCCTAATAGGGACGCAGCGCGCCGGGATGGAGACCAATAGGAAGAGAGGCTCCGCCTCCCCCTCCGGCGGCCAGCCGCCAAGGCGCCGGGATAGCGCGCGGCAAGCGACCAATGGTAGAGGAGCTAAGGGGACACGGGGTGGCCAGAGGGCTTTTAACAGGAGCCAATGACAGAGGGAGGAGAAGATATGAGTGGGCGGGGCGAAGGAGGCTACTGTCCCCGCCTACATCTCCGCCCCTTCCAGCCGGGGTCTCTTATTAAACCTCAGTGAGAGTGGGAGGGAAGGAGGAGGGGCTTGTTTCGCTTAGCAACAGGGGCGGGACTAGGGAGAGGCCTTTTTGACTATGGCGGGAACGGGTTTTCGTTTGAGGGCTGTGCGACCTGAGGGAGGCGTTCCTGTCAGAGGAACTTTTTTTCTCGTTTTTCTAGACCAAAGCCTACTGCTGGGTAGCCAACATCACCGTGAACACCAACACTGAAAAATGCAAAAAATAAAATATTAATTTTATTTATTACGCTCAATGACCAGGAAGATTGTCGTTATTTATTCGTTAAGTCGTGGCCGACTCTTCGTGACCCCATGAACCAGAGGACGCCAAGCCCTCCTTCCACGGCCTCCCGGAGTTGGGTCAAATCCATGTTGGTCACTTCAATGACACTGTCAGCCATCTCGTCCTCTCAGTCGTCCCCTTCTCTTGCCCTCACGCTTTCCCAACATCAGGGTCTTTTCCAGGGAGTCTTCTCTTCTCATGAGATGGCCAAAGTATGGGAGCCTCAGCTTTCCTCCCCTAATTCACATGCACAACCTTTTGGCATTTCAGAAAATTGGGATGCTACTAAATTAAAAGCCACAGACACATCATGTTCGGTTGCCAATCAGGATCTTTAATTAGACTATACATTAAGTGCCGGTAGCTGTCACTCTTCCATTCCAGATATCCATAGGAATGCTTTTATTAAGATAATAGGACATAGGGAAGGGTTTGACCTTGGAAGCTGCCATTTCAGTCAACTGTGTGGACTTCAGGTTAAGAGAATTTCATTATGGGAAAGCCTCCCCTCTACAAAGCACCCCGTGTGATGTTTCCTAGAGTTGTGTCAAAGGTTTTGCTTCACGCCCTCTTGAAAACTTGTGTGCTGACTTCACCTTCACAACGGAGTTCCTGTCCAGGAAAAAAAAATTGATGTACAGATCACATCGTCACTAAGATTCCATCAACTTTGGGAAACAGAACCAGCAACTGAAGCCTTCACTAACTCGTTTCCCTGTGGTTTACTGGATATTTTTCTGCTGCAAGTTCATACCCATACCTTAATTCTAAGTCTCCACTAAAAATCAGAAGCAACAGAGCAAAGTTTAGACAAGGGAAGGCCTTTCACTGAGCAAGTGCAGAAACAGAAAGGGAAGAGATGACCGATGTACCCCAGATTGAAAAGCAGAACTCTGGACAACTACCTCCTATACACAAGAATTAAAATCTTGAGGAGCGGGAGGGGAAGAGGACCCCAAGGTTCATTTGCAGAAGGTCTTTCACCTTAAAAAGGCCCAACAGCAGGGTGTAAGGGCAATGGTTCCCAAGCTTGGGTCCTCAGATGCTCCTGGACTAAAACTCCCAGAAACTTTCACCGCTGATTCTGCTGGCCAAGATTTCTGGGAGTTGTGGTCCAAGAACATCTGGGCACTCAAGCTTGAGAACGACTGCATACGATGACTGTCTTATTTCTAGCATGTAGCAAGGCATCCATAAGGTAGATCAGTCTCATATCTTTCCAGAGTCTAGATTGCATACCAGGTAAAGTTCGTCCCCTTCTACCCAGTGTGTCCAGCCTCTGTTCTTCTTCTCTCCCGTCTGGACGCAAACAAGCTTCTCATTGTCCCAGGTGACCACACTCTTGATTTGAAAAAGAGGGAAAAGAGAAGGTCAGAACAGATCCCACCGTTCCTTAGGTAACCCTAATCTGGAAGCGCTCTCCTGCTTCAATTATTTAAGAAATTAACCCTCCCACATTCTTTTCCTCCTTAGGCAGGCTAGTCTTCATCCAGTCTGGGTTTTCTTGCCCATCCTGGTGGGACCATTCAGAAGGACCGAATTACAACCCTCGTCATTCCCAGACAGCAGCTCCATCAGCCTTCTGCCTGGGAGTGATGGGAATCTTGAAAAGTTAGCTCTAGAAAGATAAAATGTTGGCCAGACACTAGCAGAAATCTAGGTGCAGTCCCCAGCTCTGTTAAAAAGCACCACGCTTATTCCAGTAGGAACTGTGTACCAACAGAAATGTACATACGTACAGAGCATGACTGCAAATCCTTCCCAGGGAAGGCTGATGGTCTGCATTTTCTGCAGGCTCTCTCACCTTGCATTTTCTGTTGTCCAAGCCCTTGTTGTCTTCTTCAAATTCCTCCCCGATTTTGAACTGGACAAAATAATTTCGGAACGTGCTCGTCGTGCTGATCGTAAACGAGTCCCCCTCCTGTTTGATGACCTTCTGGGGCTTCAGCATTTTCGCTATCTTGCGAGTCGCGAAGTCAATACCTTAGTAAGGACGAGAATTGGAACGCCCAAGTCATTCAACCATTTCTGGTCCACACCGTGGAGTGGAAAGCCACCTACCACCCACCTAATCGATTTGAGATTCACATCCTGATCTGCTACAGTCACCAGAGTAGCAGCGCCCCATTTCATGAGACTTTGAGACCCAAAACCTGATAACCAGTCCACAGAGCCTTGCACTCTCTCAAAGGCAGGGCTAGGCACATTTTGGGAGGGGGGGCGCAAGCCTTCTGGATCAGTTGATTGCAGAAACAAGGGGGGGGGTGAGAGTAAATGGGTCCCAAAACTACATGAAGAACAATCTATATAGCTGATCTTGTAAGCTAAACAATGGAATGTCCCTAGGGTGTTTTTGGCAGGTAGCAGAAAAAATACGCTCGGTACCTACAGGGCTTTCCTCCATTCTTGCTACATCCTATGTAGACTTACTTGCAGGACACGTAACTTAGAAGGGATTTCTGAGCTGGTTTGTGGAGATATTACTACTGATCCACAGGGAGATCCCCACCACCACCAAGATTGATGCAGGCACACACCTCCCAAGTTGCAATATCGGCGCTTCACTCCCAGCCCTGTTCCAAATGGCACAGGAGGGTGAAAGTGCCTTTAGCTTCTCCCTCCCTCCCTGTTCCCTCACTCTTGGCTGTTTCTTTCTGGGGCAATGCTGTGCGCACACAAAACTCTTGATGCCCAAGCCTGTGAGCTGGAAACAAGCTGGACCTAGATGCACTTTACCTTTAAAAGCAACCTCAGAAATCAGAATTTCTTCTCTTCCACTGTTGTTAGCCCTGATATTTCTCCTTTTGGTGGGAGACCCAGCCTTTAGCTTTCCAGCCCCAGCGGCTGAGGCCCAGCCACTCAAGACCAGAGCAGTAGCACGATAAATTTTTGCCTCTTAGGTCCTAGCTTGGCATAAGAACGAGCCGCTGTCCTTCATCTGGCCCGCTGAGAGAAAAGGAGTGACTTCATCCTGCAACTTTTCACAGAATTCATGGCGGGCGGGAATTGTGGTCAAAGCGCCACAAACACAGGCTTGCACAAGTCTTAAGCCCAAGGAACAACATTCCCAGGTCATAGTCACTGAGTTGTTCTATCAGGAGCAAAACTGGAAAAGTGACCTGCTTAAATTAACAATGCCCTGAAGAATCCTCCATCCAGCATATCTGTCCTTTGTCACGCAAAACGGTATCTTTTCCAGACTCCCTTAAGAGCTTGAAATGTGGCAGTTTCAGTCTTTGTCTATAGCCTTGCAAATTTCCCTTGGTTGATAAACAGCCGTCTGCCAGGATACACATCTATTGATCTAGCAATTCATGCTGTTAATTTTTAACTGGGCTATTTGAAGACTGTCTGTGTCTGTGGCAAATTATCCTTCCCAGGCCTCAGGTTCAGGCACAGAAGCTCACCTGACGTTACACTCAGATAAGATTTATTAGGAGGAAAAACAGAAGAAACACGCAGGGCCTTTTATGCATCAGCCCCCACCCTTATGGGATGGCCGGCTTGTTTCGAAACAAGTTTTACAGACATGCTTGTCCCAGGCTAATCTTGGTCCATCCTTGATACTGTATTCTTTATTGCCAAAGTCAGTAACAGTTTATTCTGTCTTCACTGCATTTTGTTGATTTTTACTTTTTCACTTTGCAAAACAGCCTGGACAAGCTTTGTGCCCAAACGCGGTATCGGAAAGGCATAGAACAAAACACTTTAAAAAAAAAAAAGCAAAAAAAAATAATATATTCTAGTTTCTGGAAAGCTCAGTTTGATCCCTTAGAACATGTTATCGATCACAGAGGAACAGACACATAATTATCACCAGAACAGCAGGGTGTAGTGGTTAAATTAAGTAAAGGACGCTAACCTTGAGCTCATGGGAGAGGCAGGATGAGAACTTAAAGGCATAGGGCATCAAGAAAAAAAAAACACCACACCTTCATTGTTAGAAAACTGATTTCACACTATGTCACCCTAGGCAGCTTAATAGGTTTTGACAAAAACATAATTTAAAATACAACATAAAGTTTCAGGCTGAAGAAGAAGAAACTCAATCAATCTTGTTCTGAGAGTCACTGTTTCAACAAACTCAAAGGGCCGAAAAGGAGAGTAAGGGGCTTTATTTCCACTTACCTAAAGCCAGCATATATCCTTCAAAGTTCTCACTTCTCACGAGGTTCCAGGTGCCATTAAAGTCCACAGGCATGGCTGAGAATCCAGTCTCTGAATTGTCCAAAAGGAAGGAGGAAAATGCAAAAGTTTTGAAACTTCTTCCCTAAGACTTCTCCTTATATGTCGGGGAAAGAGGGAGTGGGTGGAGGGACACCTGAAGAGAGTGGGAGTCAGGACCCAATCTAGCCGGAGGGGCCGGATTGGGCAGGATCCAGAAACATCAGCAGCTGGGGCTGGGGAGGAGAAAGTTCACGTGGGCTGAAATCCTCCGTTTTTTGTAGCACTAAAGTGACTGTCCCGTTGAGTCACAGCAGAGAGACAGGCTGACCCTTCTTCTGGGACTTATCGTTACTGAAATCAGAAGGTCTGTTGAAATCTGTGTCAGGGCATGAGAACACAACAGGAGTCCTTGCTGGAGTTTAGACCCAACTTTCATCCCTGGTAGAGTAGCATAAAATCATGGTGTAGCCAATCGGGGCTTCTGCTCAGTTGTTAAGTTACACAAAATATGGGGTATTCAGCTCTTGCACTTAGTTCTTTTTCTACGCTGCCTTTCCATCTGCTAGGATTCTCTCTTCTACGCCACCTCATCACTGAGCCTCCAAGGAGAGTCCAGAATGTAGGTGATGACATTCACCCATATCAACAGACCTATCTTCACAATCTGCACCTGGAGAAGGTCTTTTGCAAGGCTAACAGCTGTTGGTCCAAGGCCAAGCGACTGAAAAATATTTTGCATTGCAACCGGTATATAGCTCATAGCCTCCCCAGCTACTGTGAGGATTCTGGCGAAGCTCAGAGGGAACAGGAAAGATAAAAGGGTGATTGTAAACAGTATGTGTTGAGGCTGCTCGCTTTCTCTACCATGGCCCATTCAACCACAGATCACAGCAGGCAAGTAGATGCTTCTACAGAGTCCCACAATGAAGGATGATGACCACTCTTTCTCCTCCTGATGTTTTTTTTCCTCTTCACCCCCATCCAAAGGCTGCAGAGTCTGCCACATGACATAGCTCTCCGATCCCATGACTGTTGCCACCTCCCAGCATCTGCCGCCTGAGGCAACGGCTTCACTCCCGCAATTGTTAGGGCCGGCCCTTCCCAGCTAGCAATTGGAAACTGAGCACGGTATAATTCTCTGAATAAACTCCCTGTGGGGATTAAGTAAGACCCAAGTACTAACTTTCCCCTAGAACAGTGGTTCTTAACCTGCTAACTTTCCCCTAGAACGTGTTCCTGCCCGGGTTATTTTTACACACGTCTATGGCAAACTGTGTGGGTGGAAAGGGGAGTTTGCTTTGTTCCTCCGACTCCCAACTTGGAAAAACCGTCCCTCCCCACCCCACCCCCAGTGCTCTCAATAATTGAACAACCTCTTCGAATGTCATGGCTGAGACCTTGAACTCTCACCAGATGCCTGGCATTATTCTCTTAGAACTCACGTGATCACTGCGGGATTGTGATGACCAGACCCTTTTGCAGCTTTTCCTGTCTTAGATCTTTCTGGTTTTCAACAGGACCCTGACTAGATTTTAACGGAAATAGGGATCCAGTTTTATAGTGACCAATTCTGAAACGCAGGCAGTCCTAAGGTTGTCCTCCTTGTATCTTTGGCTAGTTTGTTTTTTTTAAAACGTGTCTGGTCTCCGTTTGGTGCCCTTTTTATTCTGGCCACAAATCTCTCCAGGGGTTGCCACCAAACACAACCTCTCCCTGTTTTAAAAACAAAGGAGTCCTTCAATATCTCAGATACCTTGAAAACCCTATTAGGGTCGCTAGGAATCCGCCTTTGGCTTGATGACACATGACAACCACAGCCAAAAACATCTGGAGACCCAACACTTCACTCCCCACTTCCAGCCAGAGCGTTGCTAGAGCCAAACATCATCAACACGGATTGGGACCCAGCACGCTGTTCTGCCATCGCTCAGTTACAGCATGTCATTGTATGCATTCCTCTTGAAAGTTGCTTTCCATGCCTTTCTAAGAAATATATTTTGGATGCTGAGAATCTTGCCACCGGTCGGTCGGTGATGGATCAACAGGTCTGCGTTCTGAGCAGTGGCATCATCTCTTTAGATGCCGTACCTGCAGAGCCAGACGCTGGGAGTTCGATTCTGCCACAGTGCCTCCCAGGCGAAGAGCCAGCCTGGGTGGCCTTGGGGCAGCTGCACCATCCCAGGGCGCCCCCTGGAGGAAAGGATGGGGGAAACACCTCTGAGTCATCTCTACCAGGAAAACCCTGGAAAATGTTGGAAAGTCAGAATGGACTTCATGGCACACTATTATTGTGTTATGTTATGACTACCCCCAACAAGGTACCCAAAGAAACACATTTTGTTCCTCTCAACTTTATTGCACCGGGTTTATTCTAATTTTCCAAGAGATAGTTTGCAAAAGGACACACGCATTCCCCCCTCTTGGCTTCTATACAGCGCTTCTCTGGCACCGAAAATAAAGCGCAGGAAGGCACCCGTGTGCACGCACACAAAACACATTCCAGCATGATGATTCTCAAGGGTAAACTGTTGGTGAGGAGTAGCAAAGTGTAATTTCTGTAATGAAAGGCAAATTTGTAAACACGCCACTCTTGGGCTCTGCTTTGTTCTTTTGCGAATGATTCATCTAAACAATGTTTTAGAGCGAAAAATGGAAAGCAAAAATAAAAACAAGGAAAATAAATCAACATCCCCCCACACCTATGCTCAAAAGCTAATTTAAAAAGAAAGAGCCTTGAAGCCACCTTCCATTATGCCTTTTGGAGGAGCCATAACAACGCTGACTCTGTTTGTGGGTGTCGTTTGGCGTCCCTGAACCCGGAGATCTTCAGCTCTGTGATGTTACAAAACTCCTATAACCTGGCAGCTACCCAGGATGGTCAAACTGTGGGTGATAGGAGTTGTAGTCCAGCAACTCTCAAAACCTCCAGGTCCCTGGTTCAAAGGAAACGGGTGCAGATTTTCTAAGGATCTTTCTTCTCTCTATACGCAATAATGTTTTTTTAAAAAATCTTCAAACAAAAAAGCACTGTTGCCCTGACAAACTCCAATCATTATACTGCACATCATGGCTTTTCACATTTTCCCTTCCCTCTCCCCCACCCCAACTTCTAATTTGTTGTTTTTTTTTTTAAACAGGAGGAATCTTGCTCCAGGGAGTCGACGGCTCATGAATATTCTGTTTCTTCTTTGCACAAGTTCTCAAGTCATCGGATCCGTTCGCCCCATCAAGATCCTTTTTCACAGACACCCCCCCAGCCCCGATACGAATAAATCCTGCAGCTTATTTCTTTGAGTCTTATAGAATCACAGGACGCTGCCAGGGAGGGGGAAAAGTGCAAAAATCTGGCCCTGTTGTGTTGAAGTTGAATGTGTGGACTAACCCTTTCCTGCTTGGTTCTTTTTTTTCCTTCCAAGAACAGTCCCGTAGGAACACAGTGACGCAGCAACACCCAGTCTGTCCACAAACAGCATTTTGCAGACATAACCCTGCCCGTTCGAATTGTGGAACGCAGACCAAGAGCTTCCTTCCTGCTTCTCCCCTTTCCCCTTCCTTTAGGACACGAAGCCTCTCTTCCTCCCTCTTTTCAGAACCATCCACCAGTGCTATCATGAGTACTGTATCTCGATCCCAGTGCGAACTGTGGTTCATGATGCAACCAGGGTTTACTTGGTTGGGCGTTGGTGTTAACTAGAACCACACCTGCTGTTTTGGCAGGAAATCGGGAAGGAGGGGAAAAAAAAGACCTGTGCCTTACGGGGAGCCAGAGGCAGCCTGCAGCTGGACACCCAAAGGGGTGGAGGAAAATGGGGTCCTTCCTTCCTCTTTCCATTTGAGCACACCCAACGGGAAAACGTTCTCCCCTCGCTGCTGTTGTCGGCCACTGCTTCTCCCTCCCTCAAACAGGTAATATCCAGCTACCAAACTGGAACTGGGCCAGGATGCATTGCGGCTGATGCTATGCTCTGGACCATTTCTGCCCACTGGCGTAGGCCAAGGATCTACATCACCTTGGTGTTCTGGGACTGCCACTCCCAGAAGACTATTCCCCACATGCTGGGCTGGCCCAGGTTTCTGGGAGTTGCAGTCCAAGGACACCGGGGTGACCCAAGAATGGGAAGGTAAAGGGGCGATTATTGCAGTTTTGGACCAATCAAGCGGTCACAAAACACACCGGAGCAGGTCCATGTGGCTGTTTCGAAGAGTCAGTTGACTGCTTTACCGAATGCCCCGATTTCTAGGCACCAGGAGACGCCAGACACTTGGGGGCCGGAGCCAGTGAATCGGCCCCGAATGTAGGCCATTCAAGGGGAGCATCGGCAGGCACTCCGATCATTGAGTGCATCCTACCTGCCCCCCCATCCTGTCCCTGCAGGAAAGGAGTGTTCAGTTCTTGGCTGCTTTCCTCGTATATCGGTGCAGAGGAGCCAAGACAACGTCTTTATTCTGATCTTCGCTCTCGGCCGTGTAGAGGTCGTGCTGCTCAATGTACGCCTGGACTTTGTCCGGCACAAGGTACCGGACACTCTGGCCCCTCCTCAGCGCTCTCCGGATCTTGGTGGCCGAGACATCGTTGGCAATCCACTCCTCCACCAGGTGAATGTTGTCCTTGTGGTTCCAGAGCACGTCGGATTCGTAGATGAATTTCTGAGCGTGGATCCCCATCCGGGTGACGCACACCATGCCGTGGTTGGCAACGATCTCCACAATGTCTTCCTCTTTCCAGAGATTGGGGACGCTAAAGGACTCCAGGATGTCTGCCCCGCAAAGCATGATCAGCTGGGGGACACCTGGGGGGGAGGGAGAATGACAAAACCAGGAAGGATCAGGTTTACATCCCACCCGTTTCTCCGCTGTTTCTAGAGCTACCGTCAGAACGAGTTATCCTTGGCACTCGGGATACGGGAGGAATTTCTGAACCCCTAATGGTCTGCTTTACTATCCAGATTCTCTCCCATGGGAAAGAAAGAGGAAGCGTTGCTCCAGCTTCTCTCTTGCTCGCTCTCTTTTCCCTCCGCGTTTAGCCTGGCGAAGAAGAGAAGGCTTGAGGGGAAATACGATAGCCCTCTTCGAATATGCAAAAGGCCATCGTCAGGCAGGGAGAGGGTGGCACAAACCTGGCCCCGGGAGCTCCAGAAGGCACAGCTGCGACCCAGGAGTAGAAAGGAGATCAGGGGAGGTTTCAGGGTTTCATTTGGAGAAACGGGTGAGTGGGCAGAACAGAACGGGAACGGAACATCTTTGGGAGGCGGAGGGCTTTTCAAGAGAGATGAAATGTCCCTTTTCTCAAGGAGGCCATCCTCCCCTCCTTCCCCCTGCCTTCTGGGTTCAGCCCTGCCTGGGCAGGGAGGGCGAGAGGGTCCCACCCCTGCCCGTATCCACACCACCTTTGGTTTGCGGCTGGTTTCGTTGGACGGGGTCCCGGCTGCCGGCTTCTCGCTTCCTTTTCCGGCCCGCCTTATTGGGGGCAGCGACGGGGTCGAAACTCTTGGCGAGAGGCGGACGCTTCAGCTTCTGCTGGTGGTACCTGCGAGGCAAACCAGCCCTTGAGAAGCATAAAACCACAGGGGCCCTTGCTCGGCGGGTGTGGAAGCCCGTCTTTCAGGTGGACTCCAAAGCATCGTAGCTTTGGAGTAATTTCCAGGGAAGCGGGAGCTGTTCCCTCGAGCCCGGCCTCTCGTTGCGCTTGGAGAAGAACACAAGAGGGCCCTGAGAATGAGCGGCCGGCTGGCTGGCTGGCTGGCTGCCCTCCCTGTCCGGCTGCCCCGCTGAAAGGGCCATACCTGAGCACCTTGATGGTCTCCTGCCAGTCCTTCTGGCTGCTCTCCCAGTCGTCCACTTCCACCCAGTCAGAGTTCTCCGTCGCCAGCTTTGCCATGGCCACCCGGTGACTGGCACTGATCAGCCCCGTCTTCTTATACGCATCCCCCACCGGTGAAACGATCCCCTTCAGCACTTTGTATTTCCCTGTGAGGAGCCAAGGGGAGAGGTGGGGCAGGGCGGTGTAATGGTTAGAGCCAGATGAGGATCTAGAGGAGAACTCTTTGTCAAATGGGAGGCAACTGTTGTAAGGGAATATCACAACTGATACGAACTGAACCCGAGGTGGGGGGAAATGATTGTGGACCACGGCAGACACAAAAAGAGGAGGAATTACTGCAGGAAGTATTTAGTGGGAAGTCTTTGGTCTAGAGTTCCATCTTGTGGCTATGGTGTATCCCTTAATAGCCACAAGATGGAACTCTAGACCAAAGACTTCCCACTAAATACCGTACTTCCTACAAATTACTGAGTTAGGTCTCTGGCTGCAGAGCCAGAGGTTGGGAGTTTGATTCCCCCACTGGGTGCCTCCTGGGAGAAGAGTCAGCCTGGGTAGCCTTGGGCCAGTGGCACCGTCCCAGGGGTGCCCCTAGAGGAAAGAAAGAGTACCACACGTCTGAGTCTTCCCTACCTGGAAAACCCTGAAAATAGGGTCACCGGAAGTCAGAACTGACTTGACGGTACACGATTAGATTAGTAGAGTCTTTGTGCAAGTTTGTATTTGAAAGAGGTACTCTGTAACCACAATGCCTTCCAAGCGTGTTGGATTATTACTCCTATCACACACACACATCCCAGATGGCGGACTGAGTTCTCCTGCTGGCTAAGGACGGGAAAGTGCTAGGTTGAGGCATCACAGATGTTACTCAGCATCCTTTAGGGTCAGAACAATGGTGGCACCCGCCTTTGAACCTCTGACTGTCATTCTTAACCAATGAAAACCTCCTTAACAAATGTATTCGCTCTCATTCATTTTCCGCTGGAATGTCACACCCGCCAGCGGCACCAGGAATCGAACTCCCAACCTCTTAGATAGAGGAAACGTGTTTCAAAGTTGGTTCTCCCAAGCCCCTGGTTGTACCCGTCTCGTGCAAGTAATCCCGCGCCAGTTCAAAGAGCCGGAGGTGCATGTGGGTGATCGGGTTGAAGGAGCCGCAGGCCAGCAAGACCACCTCGGTCCGGTCGTCCGAATTTTCCATGGGCTCTGGCTGTCGCCGCGGGTGCAGAGGGGGAGCCGTGCCAGAGCAACCGCCACCTGCAAAGGGAGGAGGGGAGGCAGGAGGAGAAGCCGAGGGTTTATTCCATGCTCTTCGCGGAGAAATGAAAAACAAACCTGGAACCCAAGAAGCTAAGTAGAAACATTTTGATTCGGTGGCCAACGAGGATTTAAAATCTGGGCCGGAGGCGATGTCTCGTCAGACTGCCGGGAAAGCAAAATGGGGATTCTGATTTTACACGGGACGGAGGCGACACAGGTGCGAATTTGCAGACTCTGCGCCCCACCGAAGACCAAAGCTTCAGGGCCCCTGGATCGTACAGTTGCAAAAACAGGGGGATCAACCATCACTTGCCCGACTCACTAGCCTAGTAGAGGCCACAGTGTACCACTTAAGCCCTTGTCTGCGCCCTAAGAAAAAGGGAACTGGATTGTGTCTTTCACGCCATTGTTGTCCTGTCCCTCACTGACCCTTCAGGACAGGAGGAAAAAAAATCTGGTCGTTCCCCTTTTTTGTGAACCCAGGAGGGCTGTGGTGTGCTAAAGTCATTCTACAGGAATGCATCCAGGATTCTTTCTTAGCCCTACCCGGAGGTGTCAGGGATTGAACCCAGAACTTTCTGCCCGAGGACTGTAGCTTCGACCGCCGGTCTGGCTGGCCAGCAGAAGAGAGGCGCGGGGCGGGGTTTGGACCGTGCATTCTGCCAGGAGAAAGGAACGGATCCTGCCACGCTCCTCTTGCCTCTTTTTCCTCTCAGGCTCTTGGCCATCCGCGATGATTCACTTCTGCCTGGCTCACGTCGCCTACCACTTCAGCAGGGGGTTCCCGAAGTGCCACCGGTTCAAAGGGTAAGCACCTGTGCCGTGGGCCTCACCCACCCGCAGGGGACCCTCCTGCTCACGACGGAACAGGTCCTTTGCCATTCTCAGATCCTTGGAGAGGTCAGGATCCGAACCCTGAATCCCCAGCCAGAGTTGCAGATGGCTGGAACCCAGCTCCGTGAGCAACTCCACGTGTCCGAATTACAGTACATTCCTGTCCTTCTTACCCCCAAGATCAATCAGGGAATGGAAATATAAATATTATGTATTGACTTCTCCCCTTACAAGTTAAGTGTGACCCACACTCAGCTTCACTGCTGGGAAGGCATCTCAGTTTTGGACTACCAACTCCAGAATCCCCCAGCCATCATGGCCAGTGGCCATGCTGCCGAAGGGTTCTGGGACATGTAGTTCAGAAAAGAAAACATCTCATGCTGTGCGAGACCTTGGCGGTGAGCTCTGAAAACCAGTGGCAAGACTAAGGGAACAATCATGCCTACATGCATAACATTATATATAAAGATACATATTTCCAAGCCATTGGAAGAATGTCCATCTCATGCCGTGCGAGACCTCGGCGGTGAGCTCTGAAAACCAGTTGCAAGATTAAGGGAACAATCATGCCTACATGCATATTATATATATATAAATATACATATTTCCAAGCCATTGGAAGAATGTTCACTGTGTATGCCTGATTTTGCCTCCCTGCAGCCAACTTCTCCTCTTGATCTTTGGCATCTCCATCATCCTTTCCCAACTCTACATCCTGCTAAGGTACGACTTGGTGATCTCACTCATTCTCTTTCCTTGCAACCTTCCTTTAAAGGCTGGCATACCTTCCGGAACAGGAGGGGAACCAGCCGGAATGTCCTGCGGCATTCTTGAAAACAGAGAACTCATGGCCTCGCCCATGACTCTTTTTAGGACCGGTTTTGGCCTTTGTTTCTTGAGTGTCTGCTTACAAAGAGACTACCTGTCGTTTTCCTGTTTTTTTCTTTCTCTCTCTCTCTTTCTCTCTCTGTGTCTCCTGTGAGTTAGAAAGCTGATATTCCAGACCGGGAGGGCTGAAAACACAATGGAAGGCTGTACGGAAGGGAGGGTGGGATGTTTCAATAAGCAACAGCTTTGGAAATGGGATCACCAGTCCCCCCCCCCCGAGTACAGCACCATTCAGAGCCTGGAAAAACGTAATTTGTTGAATGACAGCTTCCCACCCAATGCAGTTGATTTGGTGCTCAGTACCCTGGAATTGCTAAGTTTCTAGTCCTTAAGCAAGGGAGGACAGGACCTTCGAAATATGTGATGTACCATCATGCCAGAAGGGAAATGGTGAGGAGGGATGCGCTTCCATGCCCGGAAGTAGCATAAATTATGCACATGATGTGCAAATATATGCAAATATGCCTTATTTGTACGGGTGGCAGAGTTCAGCTTTTTCCTGCTGGCGCAACACATGAATCAGAATATGTCAGACATATACACTGCCAGGCTGTATTTGAAGAACTAATTATGGACTAGAACCTTGTGTGTTATCGGTCTCTGCTTCCTCAATCCTCTCTCTTTCAGACCCAAATCTTCTCGCTACTGCAGCCAGCCTCTTCTCTACAACCTGGTGGGAAGCATCGCCTTCACCTTCTTTGCCGTCGGTAGGGCTGCAACTAGCAGGCATGAAAACAGCCGGTGGCTTCCACTTTGGATAAGAGAACTGGACCAAAGTTTCTAGTCCTTGTGAAAAAGGGGACACCTGAAATGTCAGGCGTCGGAAGGAAAAAAACAAATTGTAATCGGGCTTTCTTGCTACCACCACTACCCTCGGGAAAGGCATACGGTGGGCCAAAAACTCCTGCCTCCCCAAAATCTGGTAGTCGGGGGTGGGAGAGGGGAGAATGTACTTCCGAGTACTCCATGATGGGGCGGGATAGACGGGACAGAAGTTGCAGATCTGTCCGTCCTTTGGTCTGCACACTTAATAATGGTAGGATGTGATTTTGGAGGTGTCGCTCCTGCTGTTTTTGAGATTTCTTTAGGAGAGCTGCCCACCCAATTGGGGGGGGGGACTCAGCAGCTCTTTCAGGGGGTGTGACTATGCTATTGCTCTAGCGTCGCTTTGCTTCAGTGAGGTCATTCCTCCTTTGGCTTCTCTTCAGGTCTGGCTTTGCTGGTGGTGGTGCTGGATCCCATCCCTCGGGAGCTGAGGACGGTCTTTTCCATCTTCGGACTGGCATCTTTGGTGGAAGGGGCTTGTACAACCGCTCTGACGGCTTTAGCAAGGCCATGCGTGGGTAGTCCTTGTGCCTGGGACGTCGGGCCCCGCCTACAGAATAAGCAAACCTAGGGGAAATTATGTTTTTTTTCCCAACGAGAATTCCCAGCATCTCCTTTTCCAAAATGCCAGTTAGGATCTCAGGGAGCAGATCAACGTAAAGCGAACTTCAAAGTGCTGATTTTAACTTACAAAGCCCTAATCAGCTTGGGTCCAAGCTATCTCAAGGACCGCATCTCCACTGATGAGCCTTAATTAATCAAGGGAGGCCTTTCTCTCAGTACCACCACCATCCCAGGTGTGCTTGGTGGGGACACAAGACGGGGCTTTATCCAGGGCTGCTCCCAGACTCTGGAACTCCCTCCCACTGGAGTCCAGGCTGGCCCCGTCTTGGCTGTCTTTCCACAGGCATCCAAAACCCCTTCCCTTAGCAACTGGCCTCCTGAGGGTTTTTTTTTTAATGGATCCTTGTGCCCTGATGTTTTTAAATGTGTTTTAATTGACCATTTTAAATATAACACTGATTTAATCCCTTCTTAACATATTCACTGTCTTTAGCTTTTAAATATAGTGTTTTAATTGTTCTACACCGCCTTGGGACCCTTTTAATGAGAAGGGTGGGGAATTTTGTTTTGAATAACTAAATAAATAACCTGTAAGGGTCTAAGTTCCATATATTGGACCGGGACAAAATACAACTTGATTGTTTATAAGAACACTTTTCGAAGCAATAACATGTGTGTCTCCATCCTGCAGGCGAAAACCACTCCAGAGCTGTATTACTTGTCAGTGATTCTCTCCGTGGGCAGTGTGGCATCCGCCGGTACATACAATTGTGTCTCCTTGTGCCTTCTTTTCTTGGGTCTTACTGACACTTTGAGCAGATTGTTCTGTGTGACGTGTCTGCTTTTCAATGCGAGATGCTTAGCCCATGGGGGTGAGTTGTCACTGTAGCTGCATAACTGGGAAATAGCCCTGGACTTGATTAAGTTTTTTTTTAAATCCAAAGCTGTTAACCACTTTGAACATTGTGGGTTTTTTTTTTTGCCCTGGAGGGTGTTGCGTTTCTCAGCTCTGCATTCGAGACTAGCCTTGTCAAAAACCAGCTCATGCCTACGCAGATCCTTCTGCTGCTCCCAAGCTGGCGCACAAGTGGGAGGGTTTTTAAAAAGGCCCAGAGGAAAAAGGAGGTGCCTTCTTTGACATCGGGCATTGGGCCGGATCCCTATCTGTATGGGATCCGGATCTGTATGGTGTCCAATAGGCAAGGTAGAGGAGCCTAAAGACAAACAGGCCTGCCTTCTTAAACCTGGAGCGCTTCCTACATTTCAGGGGAGAGGAGCGAATATTTTCATGAGGCACCCAAGCCAGTCTCAAAAGCCCCGGAATAATCGTCCCTGATCTAGTGCCTCCCAAATGGATTCAGCTCCAACTTCCCACAGCTGGCTGGACAGCTCAGTGGGTTGAGGTCTCTGGCTGCAGAGCCAGAGGGTGGGAGTTCGATTCCCCCACTGTGTGCCTCCTGGGAGAGGAGCCAGCCTGGGTGGCCTTGGGCCAGCTGCACCGTCCCAGGGATCCCTCCCCACAAGAAGAAGGGTAAACCACTTCTGTTTATTCTCTACTTGGAAAACCCTGAAAAAGTGTTGCCATAAGTCAGAACTGACCATATGGCACATGATGATGACAACTTCCCACAGCCCCCTGACATCAGCCAGTTTGAATTTCTCAGCCCACTGTAGTCTCCCTGATTTCGGCAGTAATTGAACAAAGGGGGTGAGGTTAGTAAGCACAAGAGAGGTCGGGGGAAAAATCCACATTTGCTGTATCTTTCCTCTCAAACCTGCATTTTGCAATTGTATGAGATACTCCAATTCCTTCCTTCTCATGGCATATTTTTTTGTCTGTTTCTTCAAGCCATTTTCTCTACCTTGGGACTCTTCTGGATTGCCAACAGGGTTTCTCCTGGCCTGATTATGAACAAGGAGGCAAAGACTGGGATCTGTTACAAGCCAGTGTCTGAATGCAGCTGCCTGTGGCATGTGTGAACCCACAAGAGGCCGGGCACCAAACTCTTCGTTTCTTTCAACCGCCATCGCACCCTGTGAAACAGGCCCAGCTTGCTTTCCTCTTTGCCTCGGAGAAAGCTGACTGATCTCTTCAGCAGCTGCAGGAGAAAAGCCTGGAGCCCGGGATACTCTCAGCCAAAGTCTTTAACTATTCATAGGTTGCCGGCATCAGGGGGCCTTTTGAGTCAAAAAGACAGGGTGTGAGGGATTCTTTTAACTCGCAAGGGGGAGGAAGTCTCCGGATTCTCAGATGGCTTTTGGGAGGTCCTTCTTGTTTTCTCTAGATCTTGTTTTAAAGGCTACAAACCCTTCAGCAGTGGGATGCGTGTATGTACAAAACAGCAGTGAAGGCTGCGAGCTTTCCACTTGAAATATAATGGCTTGCAGCAACATCAACTGGGAGACAGTTGCCAAGGGAAACAACTTGGGAACCTGAGAAAAGAAGGAGTCCAGTTTCCTACAGGATGCTTCAAGAAGCCATCGGAGGGCAGCCGATCCTCATGCAGCGGGATGGGATGTTCCAGGCGGCTGAGAATCATGTTTTGTTGCTGAACACACACCTAGCTAGACCTGCAGTGTAGGCACCTCTGTTGTGACATCAGTAATCAAACAGCGGTGAACAAGGTCCCGAGTTTTAATCTCTTGCCATATACAGTTTAAAAGCAAACTTCCCCACATATCTTTTGGGTTTTGTAACAAGTGTATGTGTGTGTGACTATATAATACAAGAGCACTTGTCCTCCATGTTGCTGAATCAAGGGTGGACTGTTTCATAGCAACGAGCATGATATCACCTAATCAGTTTTAAGGCCAATTTGGGATTTAAAAGAGATTTTCCTGGTTGTATTCCAGATTCTACTCATTTCATCCTGCTGGTTCTCAGTTTAGCAGATTGTGGGCTATGGATGGATCAGTAGAGGTAGAGGGCAGGTGTTGGGAGCCACCCTAGATCCTCATCCAGGCTAACCATTGCCTCTTGGCTTAAAATATCTCACAGTTTTGTTAAGGAAATAAACTAAGGATTACAGTATACAAAAAAGATACAGGGCAGGTATCATATATTACAGCTAATAATCTTAATGTTTTTTAAACTTTGTGAACAAGTGCTCACTGATCAGCTAACAGATGAAGTGCTTACTTTCTATTTTTCATGCAACATTTCCGTTTATTATTATTATTATTACTACTATTACTATTACTACTACTACTACTACTACTACTACTACTACTACTACTACTACTACTACTATTATTATTATATGAAATAACATGTAATTGGAGTGTGCTGCACACCACCCCAAGTCTCCCCATGAACTCTTTACAGTATTATGTTTTCAGGGAAGAATAAAATTTAAATCAAAGGTCTGGTTCTGATACAGTATAAACTATACTGCAGTCACATTTTAATCAATCGATCATTTTCTTTTTGGCCCTAAATGTGAATTCCAGTTTGACAGCTGATCAGAGCACTGGGCTAAGACTTGAGAAATCCAGGTTTCAAGCACTCGCTGGGCCATGAAGCTCATTAGATCACCCTAGGCCAGCTACCCTCGATCAGGATGAAAGGAGATCCACCTATACTCCCCTGAAGCCATTGAAAGAAAAGGGGTAGGAACTTAAACAATATAAACAATTAAACACACACACACACACACACACACACAAAAGGTCTTGCTGCATTTAGTCTTATTGGGGTCTTAGGGCTTGCTTTCTTAGGCTACTTCTAAGACCTTCACACCTAGATAATATTAATGGTTAAATCTTAAGTTAAATGTGAGGGGTCACCCAATTCTCTCCCACCCCCACTGCCGCCAGGTGCCCAACGCTACTTTAGCCAAAGCTCAAAAAGATAAGACGAGACTCCTCCAGAAAGGGAGGGGAATTAAAACAGCCTGGCATCGCGATCCCATCAACAGGAGATGATGATTAATCCACAAACATTGGTCCCAACTGATGCTGCCACCCGGATACGTTCTTCGAGGGGAAGGATCCTGTCACCTTATGACCACCCCCACCACCCCTTAACGGTTCCTGAGTTGTCGTTGAGGAGTTCCTCGTGATGGTAAGCCCCTCGGCCCAGCCTACCAAGAATCATCATCCTTAGAGATCGTCACGCCCCCCCCGCCGCCCGCAGCAGCAAATATTTCTTACCAGTCCAGGAGATTTCCCTTCTTCCTCAACCGGGTCAGGAGGAACGGAACCAGGCGGGAGAGGGAGCGAAGGGGAAGAGAATGGTCGCCGTACCCAAGGTCGGCGTTCCTATTGGCCAAGGTTGCCGGATGTCGTCCGTCCCAACAGCCGTTCCCCCACCACTTCGGAAACGGAAGTGGGAAGGGTTTGGCCCTCGAGGGCTCCAAGACCCCCCCCTCGCGGCCTACGGAGAAAGGATGTGACCTGGGAGCGTTGCGGTGGTTGTGGGTTTTTTTCCCCCATTGCTGGAGGCTGGAGGAGGAGGAGAGTTTGGAGGGTAAGGGGAGGGGAGGGCTGGAGGGATAGGAAAGGGTTAATCATAAGGCTTGGGTGGGGAGGAAGGGGCTCTGCGGCTGTCTAGGACCTTTTAGGGATTTAAGGAATACAGTACGAGGCTTTTCGGGCTCAGGGGCAATGAGAGAATTCATGAACATGGTCAGCTGTGTTATAGCTAAAATACAGTAGACTATCTGTGTTTCAAGAATAGTTGGCATTTCAGTAGAACACCTCCTGCATCTTTAGCAGCCATGCAGGCAGGAGACTCTTAGGAACAGCTTTTCAAACCTTAAATTATGACAGATGTATCAGTTGAAAATTTCCACTTAACTTCACTTCTTGGGGGAGTTTATGTAAACAAGGCATGTAATTATAATTTTATGTAACCGAAATTCCAGGAAACTGCAGAAACTGTTGAAAGATGTTGAGGTTTTTTTTTTTTTTTAAAAAAAAACAAAAAAAAAAAAACACACACACACACACACACACACACACACACACACACACACACACACACCAGGTCTTGCTGCATTTAGTCTTATTGGGGTCTTAGGGCTTGCTTTCTTAGGCTACTTCTAAGACCTTCACACCTAGATAATATTAATGGTTAAATCTTAAGTTAAATGTGAGGGGTCACCCAATTCTCTCCCACCCCCACTGCCGCCAGGTGCCCAACGCTACTTTAGCCAAAGCTCAAAAAGATAAGACGAGACTCCTCCAGAAAGGGAGGGGAATTAAAACAGCCTGGCATCGCGATCCCATCAACAGGAGATGATGATTAATCCACAAACATTGGTCCCAACTGATGCTGCCACCCGGATACGTTCTTCGAGGGGAAGGATCCTGTCACCTTATGACCACCCCCACCACCCCTTAACGGTTCCTGAGTTGTCGTTGAGGAGTTCCTCGTGATGGTAAGCCCCTCGGCCCAGCCTACCAAGAATCATCATCCTTAGAGATCGTCACGCCCCCCCCGCCGCCCGCAGCAGCAAATATTTCTTACCAGTCCAGGAGATTTCCCTTCTTCCTCAACCGGGTCAGGAGGAACGGAACCAGGCGGGAGAGGGAGCGAAGGGGAAGAGAATGGTCGCCGTACCCAAGGTCGGCGTTCCTATTGGCCAAGGTTGCCGGATGTCGTCCGTCCCAACAGCCGTTCCCCCACCACTTCGGAAACGGAAGTGGGAAGGGTTTGGCCCTCGAGGGCTCCAAGACCCCCCCCTCGCGGCCTACGGAGAAAGGATGTGACCTGGGAGCGTTGCGGTGGTTGTGGGTTTTTTTCCCCCATTGCTGGAGGCTGGAGGAGGAGGAGAGTTTGGAGGGTAAGGGGAGGGGAGGGCTGGAGGGATAGGAAAGGGTTAATCATAAGGCTTGGGTGGGGAGGAAGGGGCTCTGCGGCTGTCTAGGACCTTTTAGGGATTTAAGGAATACAGTACGAGGCTTTTCGGCTTAGGGACGAAATAAAACCTGTATCACAGGAATATATAGAAAAATTAAGGGAGATCGCAATGAATTACATTAGTTCCCTACCTGCAAGGTAAAAAGATGTGTAGAAGATATAGTGGCTCAGCTTCGGTAGAAGGAATTGCTGGAGGTCCTTTGGAGTTAGGGTTGACAAAAGAACCTTTCCCAATTTCCTGTTATGCTTTTATGTTTCTCTCTTTCCGCGCTCCTTAGGGGAGGGCACAGGGTTTGCTCCTCCTTAAAAAAAAATTCTAGGCCTATGAATGAGACTTGAGAGACTTCCTGGATCTCTTCAGCCCTAGTCTAACTCTGTAACCAGGGCAAGACAGTGGTGGTAAGATGGCAGTGCCTCCGACTGGAAGGCTTATGGATTGATGAGCAAGCCCAGCTCCAGTGAGCTTTCACAAAGATGTACAACATGCTTTTATTCCCAATATTAGATAAGGAGGGTGCGGTCGGAGTTGTTCATAAATCTGTGATGCTGAATTGGGATTTGAATACAAATTATAATACGTTAAGCCTAACTCTGGTGCTTTTTGCACCATATTTCCTATTGTCAGCACCACATGGGGGGGGGAAGACCCTCTAATGTACTACAATACAGTTTTACAGAGAAATGTCAGTCGGGTGCAAGTCTGATTCTCCATTGAACAAAGTGAAGTGGTCACCTCAGGCACTAGATGAGAGGATTAGGTGTGTGTATACATTGTATGTCTATTCACTAAATTGCTGCCAAAGCATTTAAATAATTAAAATAAATGTAAATAACAGGATAGAGCAGAATGGAAATCAGGAGAATGTGATCTTATGGCACTGAAATACCTTTTCACTAGAAACTAAAAAGATGAGAGATTTTACTTTGGAAGTATTATAAACCTACCTTTGTTTTGTTTATGAGGATATGTAAAACATACTGCAATAACTGTTCCATGACCAGTAAAATCTCCTGTGAACCTTTGCAATAGCATTGACATGCTTAAGTAAACAAAACCAGATATTGACCTTTGTATTAAGGCAATGTTCTTTTATACTGCATTCCTTATATACTTAGCTGGTTGTTTTATCTATACAAACTGTAAGGTTGGGATTGTGTTTGTTTGTTTGTTTTTTATCTATTACAGAAGCGTGTTGTGCAAGTAATTTAAAATGGCTTCAAGGGGAACAATTGAGACCAGTAAGTTGAAACAGAACTTAGAAGAACAGCTGGACCGATTGATGCAGCAGCTACAGGATCTGGAGGAGTGCCGGTAATAAACAGCTTGCTGAAAATGACTAACTCTTGTAAAACGTTTGCGTACAATCTTCTAAACTTAGTTAGAAGATTAGCAAATTTAGTTGTTCTGTAACTAGTTGCTTTAAAAATAAAAACGTTTTCGAAACTCTGGTTGACTTGTTGCTTCTTGTTCAGAGAGGAACTGGATGCAGATGAATATGAAGAAACCAAGAAGGAAACCCTGGAACAGCTGAGCGAATTCAATGATTCCCTGCAGAAGATTATGTCTGGAAATATGACCCTGGTAGATGAGCTTAGTGGAATGCAATTGGTGAGTACTGGGGTGTGTTTTGGGAAGGGGGCCGAGGCCTCTCAAAAACACTGCAGAGAACAGAATATATTTCCTAGCATTTTTTTTTTACCCAAGCAAGGAGGAGAAGCAGCACAAATTGGCTTGTCTTTCTTTTTCCAGGCTATACAAGCAGCCATTAGCCAGGCTTTTAAAACCCCAGAAGTCATCAGGATGTTTGCCAAAAAACAGCCTGGGCAGTTGCGGACAAGATTGGCTGAGGTAACGTGCTTTCACTCCTCTTAAAACGTAAAGAAATGTATATATGTTTTTTCCTTCCTTACATGACAAATTAATTAGTAAGGATCACTGTTGAGCTTTAAGACTTGATGTTTAAATGGCAATTTTTCCTCTTCCCTTCTCATACCTTTTTCTTTTTGTGCTGCCTGCTTTCAATGAATCATAGAATCACAGAAAAGTGAAGTTTGAAGGGGCCTCTAAGGCCATCAAGTCCAACCCCTTGCTTAATGCAGGAATACAATCAAAGCATATGTGCTAGGTGATTACCTAATGTAAGCTTTATGGCTGAGCCAGCTCTGTTTTTATTGAGGAAAATTTTGTGATTGGAAAGCTAAAAATGCTTCCACCAAAGTCTTTCTATTTTGTGAATGAGGAATTGAAAACCAGGACAGAGCTGAGTATCTTTCAGTAGACATGCATTGTGAAGTCTCCTTGAAATCAGAGCTCTGCAGGTCTTCTTAGAAAGGAGGTGCTACTTGACCAGTTTATTTCTTACCGAGCAAATGTGCTTCAGATTGCATATATCTTCACATATTACCGTTAAGTAGGTAATAAATGCCTTTTCGTGGTCTTTCCTTCATAGATGGACAGAGATCTAATTGTTGGGAAGTTGGGGAGGGACCTTTACACTCAGCAGAAAGTGGAAATTCTCACTGCCCTCCGGAAGCTCGGAGAGAAGGTGCGCTTTTTGTATAATGCATCCTTCACAGAATTATTAACTGAATTGTGTATATGATCTTCCCTTTCTCCATATGTAGGAGAGATTAAGCTAACAGGGTACCTGAAAAAGGTCCTTTTGGCAGCGAACCCACAAGTGTTGATCTTTTCTCTCCAGTGAACACAAATCGCCTGCAGCTCCAGACAAAATTTTAAAATGTGTTTATCTCTCCATGCTTGTTATGAACTGCTGTTATTTTTATTCATTGTTGTTGCTGACTGAACCTTTAAGAAGGTACCAGCTGATTTTATTTCTGTTATGATTTTATTAAATTTTATGATTGTCTTTGGTGAAGCCTTGCACACTACCTTTAAAAAGATAATTGTGACCTCAAAGCTGGGCTATAAATCAAATAATACATAAAATAAAGGTATCTGTATACATGCCCTAGAGCAGATGATCAATGCCCTAGAGAGAAAACTTATTTGCGTTTTCTTTTTAAAAATTACCCCATTTAATGTTTTCCAGTCCTCCTTGTTTTGGGCATAAAATACAAGGTGTTTATATATACTGTTCTTCACATCTACTTTAATCACCTGAAAGATGCCATATAAATATGATCTGAGAACTTTTATTTCTCTTACTTTCCTCCCTCTTTGTTTTCAGTTGACTCCAGATGACGAGACTTTTCTTTCGACGAATGCAGGAGCTGCTCTCAGCCAATTTGAGAGGGTCTCCAGTGACCTTGGTAAATCTCTCTCCCCCTCCCTTCTTTCTGAAGCCTCGTTCTTGAATCAAATATACTGTATCAGACAAGGGTGTGTTGGTTAGAAGGGCCTGTTGTCGGAATATAGATTTCAAAAACGGCTTTTTCTTGTTCCTGCAGGCTCAGGAGACAAGGTCTTCGCTCTGGCAAGTGTTGAGGTAGAAAAATCAAAGAAATGAAAAATTCCTTTTTCGGGGGGTGGGTGGGTGGGTATGGGCTGCTTTTGTCTGCTGCAGCCAGCTACACTTTATTATTATTTTTTACCATGTTGTATTTGTGCATTTCCTACAGACTTTTTTTGTAACATTCCTTGTCTTAATAGCAACCTAATTTAAAAGCATAAAGTTTCAAAAGTGCCCTTTTCAAGCTCAGCAATGTACATTTCCGAGGCTTATACACTAAGTGGTACTTTTTGAACAACAACAAAAATTAACCTACTATGATTGTCATCTTTTGCACATGTGCAAATCTGTATATCTCCATCGTTCCATGTCTTTAAAATAAGGATTTCTCTACTAAAACATTTTTTCCTTTTCTCTGTTTCCTACACGGGATGGCAGAAAAAAAATCTCTCTTCCAAAGCCCTCAATGCACAAGTTCAGCTGTTTCCTAGAAATTCCATTTCTTTTGTTTTATTTAAATCCTTTATTTTTTGGGGGGGGGAAGAGTGTGGAATGCACAACCCTTTGTGTGAAACCCCTGCCTAAAAAGAAACCCCAACTCCAAGCTCTCACACAAGCCAAGCGTTCTCCTACCCTGCCGGGTTTTGCTCTGGATATGAATGGGCGCCATTGTGCTGTAGGATCTTGATTGGCGAACAATAGGAGCCCCATTGAGAGCTTTTCTGGGCCAATTTAACTCTGTATCGGAATGACAGGGAAGGCAGTCAGAAGTGGCAGCAGGAGGCTGCGCCTCTGGCCTCCTTTGGGAGCCCGGGGCGGTGTTATCGGCTACAAGCAACCGTTCTTCCATTGTGTTTGGAGGGCAGCGTGAAACAGCTTCCTTCCAAGTAGAAACAAACAAACAGTGGATGTCTCTTCTTTCCATGAATGAAGGTCACGCTTGGTGTCCATTGACCTTGTTAGTCTAGGGTCTCCCTGGGGGTCTTCTTGGCTCAACTCCAAGATGCCGGTTTTGACCTACATGCAGGGCGGGGCTCAGCCATACCCCTTTGGCTCCTGATCGGTAGTAATAAATGTGGCCGTCTCTCCCCTCCAGAGCTCTTGGGATGATGTATGTAGGTCTCCCCACCCTAAGCGATGTTATCCTCAGAACAAACTTGTGAGGTAGACTAAACTGAGAAGGAATGAAGGGGAAAGATGACCTTAAATTTGCCTCAGTGATCTTTATGTTAGTGTGGGGAATTGCAGATCCACACATGGCCCTTGGGGATCCCCCAGTATGGCCATATACACTTTTCTCGTCAGATCCATCTTGCAGCCTCAGCACCAGAGTTCTTGCAGAAGGATTGTTTAAGTATAAACCGCTTGCACTGAATGAGTAATGTGAGGCTTCAGTTTGAACAGAACTTGACTAACAACAAAGAAAATCTAAACATTGCTCACCTTAAATCTCAGGGTGTGTGGATTAGAAGGCCCTTCTGATTTGTGTGTCTCTCTTGCCTAGTCTGTTCCGGACCTTCAGCCATTTGCTTCTGAAGGCCTTAGGAATGGACCTCAACAGATGGGAACCCTTGACATCTGAGTGTTCAGCCTGGAGGCAGGCGGTGCATCATGGCCTCTCCCAATTTGAAGAGACCCTTGTCCAGCAGGCCAAGGCAAAGAGGCCGTCCTGAAACCAGCAAAATCAGGGAGCTGGACAGGGGAAAGACTGTGTTTGTCTTCATTGTGGAAGGAACGGTCCCTTTAGAATTGGCCTCCTCAGCCACACTAGACACTGTTCCAAGTCCTCCATACAGAGCACGTTACCCTAGTCTTTTGAGACTGAAGGATGCCTAATCTGCCTAAAAACTTGTTTAAGTAACAACCATGCCTGTACATTCCCTTTTTCTGGGTTTGCAAATGTGTGTGGGTTGCCAGAGGGGCATTGGCTATACCAGATGGCAGTGATGTGTCAGGACTCTTCCTTATTTAGCAGTTTTGGGAGTACGGCAGCACAGGGCAGATTGAGGAACAACGGCCGAGGTAGATCTGCCCTAAAACGTCTTCTCGATAGAAAAAGACAAGACTCACTCTTTGAGCTGGAGGGAACTGATTTGGATGGCAGTGTTCCAAACAGGATTATCAGCTCCAAAGCCAAGCAACTGGAATATCTTCCCCTGAAGTCTTTTTTTCTGCCCAAAGCAGGGCTTCTTCATTTATTCAGGGTTTCTTTAATCACTAAAAGTCACTCTTGCCCCAGATTAAACTGGGTCACAGTGCAAGAGCTGGTAAGATGTCTGTGTGTGAATGTTGTTTCACCTAGGGTCCAGAAACACAATCTATAAAGAGAACATCTCAGCTAAAACAGTTTCCTGATCTGCAGGCTTTCTGTGTGCAAGGGAGTTGGAAGACATGGAGGGAGCGAAGTATTTGGAATGCCTGATTCCCCAGCTCTAGCCTAAAGTGAATGCAATTTAGAACATGTTTCATGTAGCAGGAAGAATGAAGCACTGATTGGGTCCTTGGACTAACAACGCTCAGTTTCCATTGTGGCACATCTCTGTTACTCCAGAAGGCATTGCTGTGTCCTCCAGTCATGTGAGACACGCAAGAGATCAACCGTGTGTTTACCTTTGGCCAGGGGATGGTTGGTAGAATTGGCTCGCTTCAGCAAATGAGCCAAACCACAAATACCAGGAAGACAAAAATACCTAGAAGCTCTGTTTACTGGGGTAGTCAAAGCTCCGCAGCTAGATAATAAAGCAGGCTTTTCTCTTACACCCTCGCAACTGAGTGGATGTTGTCAGTGAAAATTCTGCTCATCACACGGGCTGTTTAAAGAGAAGCAGCACTCTGCGGAAAACAGGCAGAAACCCTACTTTCATATCATGACCTACCATTCTGTTTCAAGGTCCATGCCCTGTGGCAGAGCTTAGGAAGCTACTTTTAAGATGGATTCGTATGGCATCCTGAACATTGAAAGCATGATGCTCTCGGTTGCACAGCACACTTACAGGTGGCATTGGAATATTTTTATGTTCACTCGTCTTTCCAAGCATTGCACCCTTTGGGAAGATTGCGCAGAGGAGCCCCCCCCAAGGGCTGGCAAAGTAACGACTGTTATTTTCTGGACATTGGTGATCCTGAAACAGGTAGGCACAGCATTTCCTTGAGCTGGGCTCTTTGAAACCTCTTAGGCTTCAGCTGGCAAGGCTTTGGATTGCCCTGGTGGTGGTCTTGCCTGCCCACCTGGCTCTGTGCCCTGCGACGAGGCCTTTGCCAACAGGAGGAACAGCCTTCGAATACCTTCCTTTTGAGGGCCACAGCGCTAAAGAGCCCCTGTGAAAACCATGTGGTTGCAGCCCTGTTTCCCTGCACTCCTCCGGCAGCCTCATTAACGATGATTAGAGGGTTTGTTGCCTGCAGAAGGCAAGTGCTGCTGCGCCATCGTTGATCTGTGCCTTGAGCCAAAGCCAGCCGTCACACCCGCTCTAAACAGGCTGCTTCTCCTTCTGATCTTGCGCCTTCTGCCTTCAGATTTGCATTCACTCTTCTCACTTTGCATACTGTTCATCCCACATTAATAAACCACGACTGAGAAATGCATTTTATCTTGATTGCCGTTTGATATTTCCACCAACACCAGCCACCGCTTTTTAAGACATACGCGTTGCAGTTTCGTGTAGCGTTTCCCTTATGGTGATGATTTCAAACACATCGTATAATTCTGAGTATATTTGGTGGGGAGGGGGAAAGAAAAAGACAGTGTTTCTTGCTTTTGAGCATCCAAAAGGTTAGCTTTATTTAAAGCAGTTATATGTTAATCTTGATGTGTCACAATGCTGGGTTTTTAAAAAACAGATCCCTTTAAAGAAGGGCACCTACAAACTGATAGACAGATTTTGAAGTTATTCCATATTGAGACTATGTGTTGGAATAGCAGTGTGTCATGTAAATTATGCATGTGTGTTTGTGCATAAGGATACGTACGTGCTCCATGCTCCCCTTCAGCAAGTTGGTGCCCTCAAGATGTTTGTTCCTTTTAACTCCCAAAGGCCGCCTAGTCCAGCACATCTGGAAGGCACCAACATCAGGATGGTTGGTTTGTGGGCTTTGGTATTATTTATTGTACTCACAGCAGTTCTTGAAGGTAGGTCGCTCCCACTGCTGTTCTTCACTCAGTGCCATTTTCCCAGTTGTGCAGCACTGTGGAATACAAAAGGTCAAATATACAATTTTCTGTCTCTGCATCTCTCCTTTCCGAGAAAGCAGAAATACATTTTGCCAATCTCTCCCCCAACCCGCCCACTACCTGCCAGGTGAAAAATACTTCATTAAAAATTATGCCAACTGATTGTCCATTATATAAAAAGAATGGTAACTGGAGTTCTAATGGTTGTTTTTTCTGGAAAACTGTCCCTAGTGTAGCAGGGATGTCAGTTTGAAGCTTGTCTTAGCATCAGGCTTAATCCACCTCTGCCATCGTGCAGAGGGTTTACGTTTATGCTGGCAGCTGGATTGTGGAAGAATCCTAAATGAGTATGAAAGAAGATTACTGTAGATGGCTAAGGGAAAAGCGATTGGAGCAGAGAGATTTTGTCCAGAGTGAAGGAGGGCCAGAAGAAGCCACAGTGCAGAGACAGCCTGAGGTTTAGGATAACCAACTTAACAGCTACATCTGAGAAAAAAAGATGCATAAAGCGAAAGGAACTGGAGGTCTCGGGCAAAGCTAAAAACTAACAGAAGGATTGACTACAGAGATGTGTGATTGAATAACATGTTACGAGTCTTTCTTTTAAAAGAAGTTAGGAGTTATAGCCCAGAGAGCTTTTGAATCCACAGCTCACAAAATAACACCAAGCCGTTTACCAATATCTAACTTCCCAAAAGTTGCAGGAACTGCAGAAAGACTCAAGCAGGGATAAGTCAAAGTAGGAGAGAACGAGAGCCCGCAGGCTGTTGTTGTAGAGGTTCAGACCACCTCTCAGACTGAGAACTGGGTCAGGAGCAAATACAGCTGATGAATAGCTTGACGCCCCGTCCCCCACTTCGGCCAGTGCTTCCCTGGCTGCCTTCCCTGATAAAGCACCCTTCATTTGCACACTGGTTGCTGCTGCTACTGCTTATGCTTCTCTTCCACTGGTCACCTCCTTTGTCACGCTCATGGTATTCTTGCATTGAGGGCACAAGGCAAAGGAATTTCTGCAGCCAAATAAACAGTGCTTGATTTCTCCTGAGCATCTTCCTGCCCCTTAGGGCACAGCTGGCCCAAGACTTTTTTGCAATATATCCTCCCACCTATGGACCAGCAGGTGACTAGTTCTGGGAGGACATCCTCCACAATACCTGAAGGCAGCAATACAGTGCAGAAGCAGGGGGTAGCTTTACTAGACCACTGAAAAACAAAGCAAAGAGCATAAGAGCTATGATAGCTCAGAGCAGACCCTAAAACTCAATACTGTACATGGCTATCAAGTGGACTGCTTCATTCTGCCTATGTAACCATTGTACCAAACTGGAGCCTTTCAAACAAGCAATTTGCAGGAAAGTGGCTATATTTTTGAAAATCAGTAAAACATCAATATAATTCTAAGGTACTAACCTGTTTAGCAAAATACCCAACTTCCTTGCAACGTTCTCTGGTCTACAGATTTAACTGTTAGAGCAGAAGGTGAAATAAAACCTGTTTACTTTGGACCTTGGGACGCATGATATATTTTCTATTTCTGTCATTCTGCTACCAGCCTGCAAAGTGATGTGCAGTGCAGAATTCATAGGCCCCGTCCCTTGAGCAGTTCCACCATCAAGCAGCCAAACCAGGACAAGGCAGGGCCATATGGTGCTTTTTAAAAATTGCATTAAGCCTGTAATTCCTTCAAAAGCCCTCTTGGTCAGTTACAAAGGGTAAACAGATGCTTTAATTTGCAGGTTGCCCACCTCACAGGGGCATAAACTGGCTTTGGGTATTTCTCTCAGCTTCGCAGAGCACACTAATTAACGTGGCTTTGACAGAAGGATCCCAGAGTGAGGTTTCCGTATCTCTTCTTTCCCCCCCAGCCTGAGCTGACGCGCTCAGTTTTTCTTCAATAATTAATCATCATTACTGCCTGCTGCTCGCTGTGTACGTGATGGTGATTGTCTCAGATCCTGGCATATTTGCTCCCTTCCAGTTCCTGTCTGCAGCTTGCTTTTGCTCTTTTCGTCAGCTTTCATGTGAAGGTCTTCATTAACAGACGCAGGTTGCAGATTTTCCATGGCACTGGGCTTTGATGTCTTTTAAGTACCGAAAGACAGACTGGGATGCGTAGACCTGTTTATTTCTGTGCGACTTACAGCAGAGATACAGGAGGAGGAGAAATAAAGGGAAAATGTATCTTACTTGAACTGTCTAGTTTTCTCAGCTGGCTTTCCACAAGGAATTTCAAGAAGTTTTCAGCAGGCACCAGAGAAAACCAAGGATATTTCTAAGGTCTTGTAGGGTTGCCACTCTGTCCCCTGCTGGTTGAAACTCTCTGGGGAGACTTCCCCAAAATTCCTTCTCCACCAGATACCTGTGAGCTATTTGTTGACCATATCTGGGACTTCAGAGTGGACCCCTGGAGACCACAGAGACACTGCTTTCCACTGTATCCACTTGAGTACTTCTGCCATGTCTCATCCTTCTACTGGGACTCACAGGGAGCAGCTTTCAAACGTTACAGGCAGATCTCCTTCGTATCCCTCCCTAAAAATCAGGGGACTGAAACCTGAAACTTCCTACATGCAAAGTATTTCCTCTACCCCATGGTCTGTGGCCCTTCTGCACTACTACATGTTCTCCGTAGCTCAGTACCAAGGCTGCCAAATGTGAGACATCCTCCCACCCTATGTTTATTCATGCGAACAGCCATTCTCACATGAATATCTGAGGCAGACAATGGCTTCTACAATAAGTTAGTCTACTGAATTTCAGCTGGACTTTAGGCACTTTCGATCCAAAGATAAAAACTCTTATTCAAAACTAATACAACACACCATGTACCTACTGCATAAAAGCATGCTGATGTTGTGATGATCAAAGTGATAAAAAGGATTAAGATAATCCATTATGATTCACATTAGTTGGAGAACGACTTTTTATTTTGCACGCTTGGAAACGGGTATTGCATTTTACCATTTGCTGTTTAGTTGATGTTCATAAGGAGCAGAAGAAGCTGGCTTATGAGACCACTGGTTTATCTCACTGATTTAACTGCCTTGCCATGAGTGACAGCAACTCTCTTTGAGTTTCATGAACAAATCTTTTCCAGCTGTTTCTGAAAATGCTAGAGCTTGGAAGTAGCTGTTGAGGAATCTATGCCCTTCCAGCGGTTGAACGACAACTCCACTCGTGCCTCACCACTGGCCGGGCTGGCTAAGGCCAAAAGAAATTCAGTTGAACCACATCTGTAGGGCTACAGAGGTGCTGTAGCATATTATTAAATAATTTATTTGCTCTTCTTTGGGAGAGTTCTTCACATCTTTGTACAGTAATTTCTTAACTAATCTGAGATTAGTTAACTAATCTTAACTAATCTGAGTTTCCTCCACTATACTTCCCAGTGACCTAGTATGCATACGGACAAGGTCTCTCCTGGCAGCTTTGGTGCAGCCAAAGTAAAAACCTTCTGTATTAGGTCCTAATAAACTATACCTACTTCAGTTTTTTAAATATACAGTATATGTATATATTCTACCTCGTCTAAAACTTGGTCCATTTTTGTCCTATTTATAATTTTATTATCACTCCAGTAATTAGCATAATAGTGTCTGTGGGTAAACACACACACACAAACTTGTAACATAATCCATGAATCTTGACGGTGTTCTTCGGCCTCCTATTTTCTGGAAAGTAGAAGGTACCTAAGCGTAATAAGATGATCGACCCAGGCGAATACAGTACAGTATATTTCGCCTCCTCCATTCATTGCTGCGGGGTGATTTCCGGCAGGCCTCCTAAGCCCCGCCCTCTCCCACGGCGGCTCCTCCCGTCCCCGCCTCGCGCTGCCTTCCCAGCCCGGCGTTTCCCCCGTGGCTCCTCCTCCCCCGATAGGCCCAGGTACCTAAGCGTAATAAGATGATCGACCCAGGCGAATACAGTACAGTATATTTCGCCTCCTCCATTCATTGCTGCGGGGTGATTTCCGGCAGGCCTCCTAAGCCCCGCCCTCTCCCACGGCGGCTCCTCCCGTCCCCGCCTCGCGCTGCCTTCCCAGCCCGGCGTTTCCCCCGTGGCTCCTCCTCCCCCGATAGGCCCCTCCCGGCGGCGGCGGGTCCCTCCTTTCTCTCCCGCCTCTCCACACGCCTCCCCCCGGAGTCGCCCAGGCGCCTCCTCCGCTCCCTCCCTCCCTCGGTCGCCGCCGCTGTGAGTCACGACGACGGAGGGGGGAAGAGGAGGAGGAGGAGAAGCCCAGCCAAACCGAGGCAGGGGCGGCTGCTTCCACATACGCACACACCCAGACCCACACGACGCTCCCAGGGGCCGCTTCTCCTCAAGACCTCCGCCCCTTCCGCGCGGCCGCTCCGTCTCGTCCTCTCGACCCTTTCCTGAGGAGAAACGGTCCGAGCGCCTGCCTGCCTGCCTCCCTCCCTCCCTCCGAAGGGGAAAAGGGAGAGGTGGTGGGGGAGGAGTCCTTCCTTTCCATTTCCCTCAAGACCGAGGCGGCGGCGGCGGCCACGACGCCGCCTCTCCTCGCCTCCCTCAGGTAAGCCCTGCTCAGCCTCGCCTGGTAACAAAAGGGGCGCTGCGCGCGCCGGCGGAGGGGAACGAGGGAGGGAGGGGGCGAGAGAGGCGCGTGCTCTCTCTCTCTCTCTCTCTCTCTCTCTCCTGCGCGCGCTGCGGCTCAGGTCAGCCGTGTGGGGGGGGGCGGAGAAGGTGGGGTTGGTTGGTTGGTTCGCTCCCTCCCCTCCCTTTTTGATTGGTGGCGGCGGCGGCGGCTTCGATCGGCTTTTGGCCGGCTGGTCCGATCGACCGCTCGCCCGCCTGCTCGCTCGCGCTGATTCGCCGTGTGCGCGTGCGCGGCGGCGGGGAGGGAGGGGCGGCCCGGC